AGAAACTCTCTCATCAATTTGTTGTTCGATTTGGTGTTGGACGGCAGAAACTCTTCCTTCTATATGGTCTTTTACAGAAGAAACTCTTTCTTCTATTTCTTCTTTCACCGAAGAAACTCTTTCTTCTTCTTCAATTTGATCTTTTACAAAAGAAACTTTTTCTTCAATTTGTCCAACTTTATTTTCAACTGTGTCTATTCTGCCTTCCATAGCTTCAAATTTATTTCTATTATGCAGGTAATCTCTCTTTTCATTTCGTCTTGACCTGCTTCAATCTTTTCTTGATCAGCTTGAACGGCTTTCATTTCGTCCTTAACAGATTCCTGGCCCAATTTCATTCTTTCCTTAACGGATTTGACGGCCCCTTCCAATCTTTTCCTTGGCTTAGATTTCATCTCTCTTTCATTTCTTCTTTAAACGAGGCAAAGGCTGTATCAATTGCCTTAATTGCTCTTCCATCGCTCTTGTTATTGGCATTCAAATCCCACTTCTGACACCAAAAATTGTTGCGTGCGTACGGAGTTCGTTATGAAATGAATGCACAAGTCCGATGAAAAATGAAACAAAAATTTTATTATCACAACAAAAATGCTTAAATTTTCTCAAATTATCATGCAGTATTACAATATCTCACAGTAGTTATCTTTTAACTACTCAAATGTCCAATAGAACGTAATTCAAAACAGCTAAAGAACGCTAATCCGCGAATTCGCTACAATCAACAAGAGCAGTTTTCTAAACAACAACAAACTAAGCAACTACTACAAACTGAGATGTTTTCCTCCTTTTTATAAGATTTTAAAATCACGCGCTAGAATTTTCCAGTACTTTCTCGAAATCAAAAAGAGATATTTATTTATTTAACGCACGCGCTCTTGTATTTTTAATTTTTCCGGCTTAGCTTTCTTTTAATATTCGTCACACGCTGCACTGCGCGAGAAATAAAACCATTTAATTTATAATTGAACTAACATTAGCTTTTTAAATACCAAATTCGTAACAATATGTATAATGAGTATATTCAGTAAATAATTTAGCTCTAGTTTTGAAATTTTTGAGGTAAATCCAAATATTTTTATAAAATAAGAAAGTATATTAAGAAATGCAGTCATTTATTAAAAATGACAATTAGAGATTTTCTGAAACAAATATGAAGTTGCATTTCCATCGTCATGAAAAGTAAGAATGTAGAAATGTTTACCTTTGTCATGAAAAGATACGTTTCTATCGTTTGTTAAGAGTATTTTTAAAATTATTTTATTTAAAAGGCAACTCTGCTTGTTTTGTTAAGAGTACAGTCTAACGTCTGCTTGACGAACACTCTACTTAATGAATTTCTCTATTTAGCGAAGTTTTCCGCGAATTCTGCCGGAGGTGCGAATTTCCTTGTATAAAAAATTCCAGATACCGAAGTACACTCTACATTTAACGAAGTACTTGAATGGATGATTTTTCTTTCTACTTTAAAACTGTTGTAATACATACATACGTGCAGCTGTTCTCTTAAAGAAAAGCAGGGGAGGGCTCCCGTTGCCTGTTTCGACATTTCCATTTTACATGAGGGATGAAGTGGAGGTAGGGTGATTCTCGAATGGAAACACATTCACCTACCTAATTGTTAAAAATTCTCCAACAAATCCTGTTTCGCAAACCATTTGAACCTTTAAGAGACGGGGCAGTTTGGAAACATTTCACTTAAAAAAACGGGAAATCCAAATGCATTTCCAGCCCCCCCCCTTTTAGCTGCCATTGTAAAGGGAAACTACTACTCTTCTGGAACTTTTTCCGTAGGTCGCCTTTGTTAATTTTCAGATAAGAGACTAGGGAATAATATAAAAGAATTTGTTGAAATTTTTCTCTTTTCTGCTGTTTCTTTTCCCTAAATTAGGAAAACATGTTATGGTGAGATTTCGTAGCCAAATAATTGTCGTATGTTGGAATGTTGGAATATTAACTTTTGACATTGCGTCATAATGAAAATACGCCTTAGCAGAAAATACACGCCTATAATCGGTTCATAGTTTATTCAGGTTTTTTTTTTTTTTTTTTTTTTTTTGTTTCCAAACTGAATTTAGTTTAGAATTACATGTGCTAATTAATATTTTTAATTTATACTCGAAAATGATGTTTAAATATTTGTTTCTCGTATAAATCGGCAGTACGCTTTTATTTGTTTCCAAGCATTGTGTAACAGCTTATATTTATATATCAAACAAATCTCGATGTATTTTTCTTATATATTAGTTCCGTTTACCTTTTTCATTAGTATTTTTATTCAGTTTAATTTATTGATTCCCCCCCCCCATTGTATCGTAAGTTATTTCATCTTTCAACTACATTATTGTTCATTGTTCTTTCTTGCAGTTTTGTGATAAAGCTTTTTTTTATCCTTTAGCGTTTTTTTAAAATTATTTTCCTTAAAAAACAGATTTTATTGATTATATTTTCATTGCATTGCACTCCATTGCATTTTGCATGTTTCAAACAACAATATTAAATACAAAAATTACAATAAAAAGGGGAATATAAAGAAAAAATACATTTTTAATGACACTGAAAAGTTGGTGAAATTAATACTAATGTAAAATTGCTAAGTTTTCACTGCTGAGGGAAACGAAAGGGAATTTACGAAACCCCACAGGTGGGAGGCGCGAAGGTCATCTGGCGTAAGTGGCACTATCTCCGCACCCTGAAGGATGGGGGGAGGAGGAATTCGCTGGCCGATATTTCGGTCACAGCCGTCTTTTTGAGACACAGCTCTGGCCGATTCTTAGGCTACCCGTCTTTTAAAGGTTAAAGTAAAACCCCTATGACATTATGTTTCCGCTGCGCGAGACTGGATGCCGAAAGGAACAATTATCAGAACCCGCACATTTCCAGGAAACCCACGTAGTTAGGTTACCGTTGTCACTGACTACAAAGACTTGAACGCCAAATAGTAATCGGTTGTCGCTCAAATTGGAATCACGTGATCCTTCAGAAGCAGAACTTTCGTCTGATTGGTTCATCTCTACGCGGGACAGAGCTGCAGGCAGAACATTTTAGGCGAGGTTTCAAAAAATACCGCGTAGCCGCAACATCGTTTCCGTACCCAGGTGGAACTTCGCTTCCAGCGGGGCTCTTTTTTCTAGAAATCCTCCCGTTTAACTAGTGCTACCAGAATCTCGTTTCTCAGAAAAGTCCTGTCTAGCAGGGACCATCGCTAGATGTGATAACCTCTTTAAGGAACAGCTGCACGTTGTTTTTATTTCTGTTTTTAATATATATTTATATATATTTATATTTATTATTATATATTTATATTTAATATATTCTGTTTATACTGAAAATCCTTTTTAAGGTTAGTTGAATGATAAAAATGTTGAAACGGAAGTATCTAACACTTAAAAATGCTGATTCTAGACGAAGTGGTGTAAAGAAGAGAAGCACTGCCATAAAATTCAGTACTTTGCAAAATATTTTCTCGACAAAACGGTATAAAATTTCGTCAAACTTTGATTTCATGACCACTGCAAAAGTGCAGGTTATGAATTAAGGAGGAATAAAAAGTATTAAAACTCATTATCGTAAAAGCAGTTTGAAGAAGGTCCTAATGTGAAGTGAAAGATTAAGTTTACGGCCGCTCAGACGGTGTAGTGGTTAAGGGAGCCTGACTGCGATGCCGAAGGGCCCGGCTTCGAATACCGGAGAAGGCATGGAGTAATTGTCTGTTCCTTCATAGGAGGCTAAGGTGGCCTACCTATTAAGTACCCCCATAATAAAGAGACCACCACATCTGGCCTTAGGAGCGACCGATGTCGGCATAGGCAAGTGCCTGCCATTGGGGAGGATAATAAGTTTAACGTGAAAGCGTTATTGAAAAGATTTTTTTTGAAAAGGCATGGAGGTATGTCACTTGGGGGGGGGAACTGTTCGCAAATGCTTCGAAAAAGATGACTTCATCACCAAAGTTGATACTTTTGATAACAGCAGTGTCAGTAACGGCGACAGGCAAAATGAGGAACTGAATAATATATGGTTGCAGTTTGAAAAACCAAGAACATTTCAAGAATAATGAGGAATTATAAGATTATTTATATGCATAGATAATGATGTTGAGATCTCAGGATTTCCTAATGAACAAGACATACGTATTAGAAAGCATAAAAAATGACAGCTAGAAACTGATTGATTATGGTGAAGATGAAAACTTATGAGAATGAAATTAAAAAAATCTTCTCCAGAAGACGTGAAATGCGTTTGATACTTTACGACGCAGTTTTCAGTTTGCAGGAAGAGTACCAGAGGACATTTTCCTCTCATTACAAAGATGCGAGACTTATTATGACATGAAATGTTGTTTCCGATAATCAAAACAAAGTAAAAGAATTGATTATTTTTAATGAGTTTATATAATTTTCATACGTAGTTTTGATTAAGTGGATACATTAACTTATAAAGTTTTGCATTTATATTTTATTTAACTACTATTTTGAATTTAAAAATTAAAAGGATTCTCATCTTAAATCGAGTTTTATCATAACATCCATTTTGCAAATTCCTCTATTTGGAAAAGTTTTCTCCGGGATTTTGCGACTTCGTTAAATAGAGGTTTGACTGCATCACGTCTTTACCTTCTATTTTGCACTTAACTTAAAAATGGTTTAAAACAATTTATCACATTTTAAAATGTTTATTACTACGCCAGTTTAGTTAGTTTTTTTTATATGTATGGAAATGTATATGAGCACACACTTGAAAATTAATAAATTTTTTTAATTGTTTTAAAATAGGGAGAGTTTTAAATAAACTATTTCATTATTGAATACTTCGTCTTTTCTAATTAGCAGATGATTTAATTCTTTCGAAAACGTTTTCGCGTATTTTAAAGAGTAAAATAAATTTCTTCATACAGCAGTCAAAGTGACTGCTATTATGTTTCCGTGTGTAGAAAATTTCTACAATTCTAATATTAAATATCTGTAAAATGAGAATAATGATAAGCAAGAATATTTACTGACCTGGTAATATGTTTTGCCAGTTGATTTTGAGATAATCATCTCTGTCTGATCTATTATGCTCGTGTTCGAAACCGACTGCATGAAGGAGTTCATGGACTACAGTTCCTATATCAGAGCATCCATTTCCCAGAGATACGGATTGCACTCCACCGATCCGGCCCCAATGAGAATAACATCTGCATATATTAATTAGTTTTCTAATTAGTGGTGATGAGTTACTTCTTCAGTTATGTCTTAAGCTAATAATAAATTTGTAATCATTAAAGTATTCACAGGAACTGAATTTTCTACTTTGATACACATATGGTTATACTGAAGTACAGCCAAAAATGCTTTTCAGTAAATTGTTAAGTAATTTCATGCAGAAAGCTTGAAATTAAACATTTTGAAAGTCCTGTGGGTCATACTACAAGGGAAAAAAGAAGCACATAACCTTCGAGAAACATGCAGAAATTATCCGAAGTAGCTGCATTTGTCTTAGGTAGTCATATAATCTCTTCCCGAAGCTGCTTAACTTAGAACTGGAAGAAATGAAAATAGTAAATTTGAATAAGACTCTGTGAAAAAAGAAGAAATGAAAACAATTTAAAGAACAAACTGTGATTCCTGAGGAGATGGGTTGCACAAATACGCAAGTGAAAATCCTAATAGATGATTTCTGATCTCAAAATGCTTGAAAAATTTACCACATCATAGTTTCTTGGTTTTGAGACAGGGATGGTCAGCTTTTGTATATATCTCTACATATAATAAAAGGAAGAGTCTGTCTGTCTCTGTGTGTGTGTGTGTCTTTCGTTCGTGAAGCTAATAGATCAAGGGCTACGAAATTTGGTGCATAGTGGAGCATCCAACGAGATAGTATACTGTTATATGAAGTCGTTGGGAGCATCTAGACAAGAGCCAATGCACCTCGAAGCGATTTTTTCAAAATTCGAATGAGATTTTTTTATTTTATGTTTTTTGAGGAAATCGTATCATTTTGAGACATAATGTGCTGGCAATAGTGCTGATATCAGCAATAATGACAACAGTGGATATATTAGCAACAATGGCTGCGCGTCATTGTTGCGTGTTACGAAGTCAGTTGTGGTACTTGTATTGAATATTACCTTGCTTCTTTGGCATTTTTTATGCCAAGTTGTTTTTTTGTATTTCTTTCATGTTATTTCACTGTTTTTAAGATACTGAAAAGTTTTGAATAATTTTTTTTAGAAAACAAAGTTCTTAACTTCCTTTACACCATTTGAATTCTTCAGATTTTGCAACGGGAAGTTGGTTAATTTATTTATTAGGATAATTAATATTTAATTTAAAGTATATTGCTTATTTCATTGTAATTTTTTACATTATGTTTTGATTGCATATAATTTTAATTATACAAAAAGTTTTGCATGATTTTTTTTTAGGAAACAAATTTTTTAACTTCCGTTATACCATTTGAATTCTTAAGATTTTACATCGGGAAGTTGGTTAATTTATTTATTAGGGTAATTAATATTTGTATTAAGGGATATTATTTCATTGTAATTTTTATATATAATATAAAAATTATTTATTAAATTTTTTTTTGATAAAGTTGTTTTGCAGCGTAAAATTCCGTGCAGTTTTTAATTTAATGTTTGGTGTTCCCTTTAGGCATTTTTCCGGTACATTCAAAAGCCAGACGTAGGCTGGACGCGTAGCGGCTAGTATGGAATAAAATGACTTGGAGTAACCTGCAATTGATTGACGAAATGGTAACTTGAAGAGACTTTACCGTTAGAAACTTTTACTATATTACTTTACGTTAGACATTTACTAGTCAAAAGATGGCACTCGAAGGAGAGACTTGTAGACAGACGGGGATGAATTGAACATAATTTTTATTGCTGGAAGCGAACTAATTAACGGAAATATATTTTTCGTTACACATGATCATGGATGCAATACACACCCCACAATTGTTTTACAGAGTATCACATTTTAGATAACGGAGAAGTTAGCAGCTCGACAAAGCAAGGGAAGCGAAGTAGCGTCTTGACTACAAGACAGCTAAACCGAAAGTGCGCAATTATCCAGTATGGAATCTTATCAAGAGAAGGTTTTGGTTTAGATTCGAGAGGTTTCATTTCTTGAAATTTTGAGTTCAGGTTCGGAAGTAGTTACTTCAACAGCGTTACGCAAGCCATGTCTGTTGAGTTTTGCCTTTAAATCCCTTTTTAAAAGGAAAAGAAACATACTGAATAAAAACTAACTTTTTTAAGGTCAAAAACTGAAGATGGTTACTGAAGACTTTCTTTTTAATTTCTGCAATGTGTTTTTCAATGTTACAATTTTTGATGTTTTTGTAAATGATCGGATATATTTGATAAGTGACTTAAATTGTTTTCTGGTATCATAATAAATTTTAATGTTTTGCCTGTATTAATGCTACTTATTACTGTCTTGTTTTTCTCTTGCAGTTCTAAATTTAAATTAATTTCGATGTAAAATCCATAAGAAACGCTACATCGCGGAGCCAAGTTTCAGCATTTAAATTTCACATTCCTGATCTCGCTTTTAAAGAAAACAATTTATCTCTATTAATAAATCATGAAATCGTTGCAGAAATTTATTTTTACTTTGCCACTTTACATAGGTTTGTAATAATAATTATGCCTGGCCTTATTTGGTCGCAACTGGAAGAAACGTCGTTTGAGGAAACATTTTCGAATGGAATTAATAACTTACAAGTCCATTATTTCTTTTGTTATTTAATCTTTTGCTAGCTGACATTTACTGGTGAATTATGTAGTGGTAGCTAAAAAACTTGAGGATTTGTCATCATTTTGGAATAGAGTTGTAAATTCATTTATGCGGCCTATCATTATTTCTACTCTATAAGCTGTTATGGAAATCAGTATAAAAAGAGGTGGTTTCAAATCAGTGACGAAATTTTAAAAAGAGTTTAATTGTATCTTGTCTGGTCTTTTCTTTTAAATAAATAATACCCATAATTTTTCTTTAGATGCATATTCTTCAAAACTATACAAATAAAAATAAGCACTTGTGTTGTGTCACTTTATTCTGTCGTTACATTGAATTGAAGGAAAAACGAGAATATCTATTAAGTCGTTATACTATAACTGACCTCTTTACATTTTCATTCATTTTCTCAATCCCCCGCATCGCAGTATTGCGAGATAATCGTAGATCATAAATCGCAGCAATAAATTTAGCCTTCTTCTTAAAATCCTTAAAACGTGAATCTGACATTTTCAAGAGAGTTTATTTTAAAATGTTTTTATCATAAAATAGTGATAGCTTTTTTTTTTCTTTTTAATTTTATTTATTAAACATCTTTTTCTTCGAATTTACTCTACGTAAAATTCAACAGCAAAAGCAAAATCACAAAATTTTTTTAAAAACCAGCATATCATTAGAATTTCAACTAAAATGTTAAGTGTTTCCATACATTTTTTATATTTGCTGTATTATTTCTGTAGAAATACTGCATGGCGATAACATTCGGCTATTCTGACTTTGTTACGAGCTAGGAACAATTAAAAATATACATTTTATATACAGTAGAAGATCAAGATATATTAATAAATGGTTAGCTCGTAAAGAAGCTTTAAACTTTTGCTCGTAAAGAAGATCAATTTGGATTGCCATATTTTATTCTGTATCACCAAAAGTTGAGAAAATTTGCACACAAAAGAATGCATTAATGTTCTAAATTTTTTTAAAATTAAAGAAATTTTAACCTTCTTAAGACTTAATACTCATAATAAACTTCTTATAATCTCAGACAAACGCTTCATGTCTGTTAGAGTTATTAGACTAAAAAATAGCATTACCAGATCAAAGTGTAAATCTATAACCTCAATTTTGTTTCTGGTGCAGGCAAACAAGTATACTCTTTATTTCAGATAATATTTAAATTTACATGGACAAATTAAACCATAAGACACTACAAAATAAAATCAAACAAGTTTGAGATAAGCACTTAAAAAACTCCTCGATAATAGAATTCAAGTGTATAGTTCTATTTTAGCACATTAAATTCACAGTCGTTTCTTTGTTATAGTTCTGGCTTATAATTTTGTTGCAACCATAGTGTCATCATTTACATCATCCTCACTTTCATCGTTCTCTTCATTCTTTTCAACTTGGTATTTAAACGATTTGAACTGGCTGACATGGACGGTCGAACTGAAGTAATGACTCCTCTTCTTCTCTTATAACACAGCAACCTTCTAACTCTTGGTGGGTAAATATTTCAGTTGCATTTTGGTGGAATCTGCAATCGGTTTAGGTATTCTTCTTATTACTACTACTTTCTTCGGGTTCAAACGTTAACGTAATACTTTTCTTTTTGTCTTCATTTGACTTTAAATTTTTCTGGTTTTCTTCAGTCTTCTCTTTAAATTCGTTCTGCAGTATTAAAGAGAACTACCATTCATTTTCATCTTTGTCTGCAGCCATTCTCATCAATCAGTCATTAAGTCATTAAGTATCCACATGGAGTCTTGTGAATAGTTTTATTTATCACATTTTTTAAGCTTCTTTTGCCTTCTTTGATGTTTTTATCCCAATATTTGTGATTTGGATTCTCCATGATAGTCTTGATTGTAGCCAAAATATCTCGATTGACTCTCTGAACCACTCCATTTCCTTGCGAGTGATGAGTTGAATTTATTGCATGCTTAACTTATTCATCTTGCAATATTCTTTAAATTCTTCCGCCGAGAAATGCATTTTTCTGTATCTTATAATTCTTTCTGGAAGACCAAAATCGTTCACAAAATCCTTGAATGCGAAATCAACACGCTCTTAATTAATGCGTTTTTATGGAATATAAATATATAAATATAATAAAACGGACAATAATTACAAATAGCATCTTGTTACCTTTGAACATTTTACAAATGGTACTAAGTCTGTGTGAATTATCGCGAAAAGCCGTCAGTTAAATTTAATCGGATGTAGTACTTCTTGCCTTTTTACTACTTAGCACTTTAATAAACATTCGAAGCACAATGAAATATGTCGTCGTATGTAGGAGGAGGAATAAAGAAATACGCTGGCTCAATTTCGGACAACAGATTTGTGTTCATTGATGTGAAGCTTTAAAATTGAACTTCTATAAAATTCGTACACTTTTGTAACTGATGGAAACACCACAAGGTAATTAATGAATTTCTAACAGCAAAATGTCTTTTTTGATGGCAAGATGAATTTTTTTAAAGGCTTTATTAATGACCACCACCTTTTTAAAGTCTTTATCAAATCGTCGGTCAATGGTAACTGATCTCAAATAATTGAGTTCTTTAGCAAGTAAAGGCTCTAGGGAACAAATCTTTACAGCATGAAATGCATAATAGTAAAAAAAAGCCAATTTTTTTGCTTAGCCTGGTGACATGACCAAGCATAGGGAGGCAAACAAACAGAAAATTATTTACTGTAAAACAGAAGTATTGAAATCCGATTCATTGCGGATTATAAGAATATCAAGTAAGATGAAAGGTATTGTCATATTCAATATCAAAAGTAAACAAAACTGAAAATTAGTTATAGACATTTAACGTGAAGATTTCAAAAGTAGGCTTATATTGTTAGCAGGGGCGTAGCCAGAGTTTCCAGCGCCCGGGGACAACTGAAAAATTTGCGCCCCTTTCTGTGTGCCAAGGAGGGAAAACATTTCATTTAAAAATTCCGTAGCATCAATTTGGCGGCCCTTGGATGCTGCGCCCGGGGACACATGTCCTCCCTTGCCCCACCCTAGCTACGCCACTGATTGTTAGGCGCTTAGAATTCAAAATCTTAGTCAAAGTCGTTGAAGACTTCCGTTGCGATTTTCTAAATTCTGGAAGGGGAAAGTATAAGGTTATTATTTTATAGTAACCAGTTATTATGATTTGGATCTGTAGTCTAACTTCTTGTTTTCATATTCCTCACCAGAATGCAAATTAGTTAGTTGTGTGTATTTAAGCTACGGTTTTTGAATCTTGAGAGACAGAGAGTGTTTCGGGCATTGCACGCTACGTGTCAGCTGTTAGCTCTAGTTAAATGTAATTGTTTCGGCTTTCCGCTTCTCGTGGCCGATGCTTTAATCTGAAGCGCCGATAATTTATTGAGTCAGCTTAGTATTTAAATTGTAGGGTCTTCAACTACTAATCAATATTTAATTTGAATTGTTTGTTCTTATTTATTTGCCTCTCCATGAGCTGTGGTTGTTGTAGCATACATTCCCTTATTTAGAAAGCTGTATTTAAATAAAATGGTTGCTTAATAACCTTCCTAAGAATTTGTCTGTCTATACCATACATAGCATCTAAACATAGTGTCTATATATGTAGATATAAACCAGCTGTATGTCTTTTAGGGTTATAGGACTAAAGTAGCAGTATTATATAAAGTAAAGCCTTCCATATTATAAGTACAGTTTAATTATTGCTGAACGCAGTGTGATTAAAGTATCCTTTTTCTCTTAATAGCACTTGAATTTATTAAGAAGATCCTGAGATGAGCCGATTAATACAATATAATTTCAAAGTAGTTTACCCATTTCCCTTGAAAACCTCTACGTAGTCTCTTTCATCTTTTCTTTCCACAAACTTGATACAAGTTTTAGATGATATGTGATCCATTCCAGCTTTTAGAGCTTTTCTTGTATTCGCATCTGAAAAGAATTATGACGTTAGCTTTGAAATGATATAAAAAGCTAATTATTTGCAAGGGATGATCATAATTTACATTTAAACACTTTAAATAAATATCATATTTTACATGTAAACACTTTATCAATATTACATAAAAAAGTGTTTAATAGTTTATGTCTAAAGTATTTTAACAAACGAACATTTGAATGAAATTAATATTAAATCTGCAGATTTTGGAAATTTCTTACTACTAAATTGGACAACTTGCAGAGACATTAGGAGTTTTTTGGAAGCAGACAACATGGAAAATGAGCAAACGCCTTCACCGGCAATCGAACCACGGACCTTTGGAATACCGGCCCAGCGTGCAGAACCACTACACCACGAAGGCACGCTAGGAAGGTGGGAGAAATACCTTACATACTCCCCCTTTTAGAGGGCGACTGGGGTTTCCAAGGGACCCAATCGCCAAATCCTGGATGCGGAGAATCATCATCCAACACCTTTTTAGTTTGGGCGGCACTGTAGAGACATTAGGAGTTTTTTGAAAGAAGAAGAGATGAAAAATTAGTAACCGACTTCGCCGGGAATCGAACCACTGACCTCTGAAATACCGGCTGAGTGTGCTGACCACTACACCACGCTAGAAAGGCGGGAGAAATACCTTTTAAACTGATATCTTATTACTATAACATAAATGTTAACATAAATGTTTATCTTATTACTAAACATAAATGTATTAAAAACTAACTGCTACAAAGGCTGTAAAAACACACACACACACACACACACACAAAAAAAAAAAAAAAAAAAAAAAAAATTGTTATTATAGGGAATTAAAAAGGCATTTATGAATATTTAATTAAAATCCATCATAAAAATCTAAACAATAGGATTAACTAATCGGGAAGCAGCATTCATTACTTTAAAAATAAAAATAAAAATAATAATATAATGTATAAATCGTATTGCGTGTGTACGGGTTCGTAATAGATTGAATGCACACAAAACATGATTAACTTAATTAAATTTATTTTTACCAGAAGAAATACTTTACAGTTCTGGAACTTTCCACAAAAGCACTCGCACAGTTCTTCTCAGCATCACAGAGCATAATCAGTAGTTACACTATAAATTGCTAAGAACGTTAAACATAATGCAATGGAATGCGCATCTAAAAGGCCAAGCTCCCATGGATATCTCAATACTCCGAAGTCGCTCCGGACTATGATAAAATGACGCTCTCTCCAGTCTTAAATATTATTTTCAATAATTAAGTTTGTACGGATCATAAATTGTACGACGTTTATTTTATTTTAAAACTTTACTATCCTCTCTGTTTTCCACTTCCGGCCAGCATTAAAAGCGTTAACTTGTTTATGCAAATTGTGCTTGCTAATGCCCAAGTATTTAAGTTATGGCTTTTTGTCAAGAGTTAGATAGAGGGAAAGTCGGGAAATTGAGCCGTTTTGCCACAGCATTCCGCACGAATCAGCTGCTGTCTGCTTTTAAAGCCAAAGGTTTAGTCTTCTCGTTATTTAAAACACATTGTAGTTTCGGCAGTTTGCGTACTACATACGTAATCATTTAAAAGGTCAGTCTTAGCGTTAGGCCATTGTGCTAAATTAGTTCAAAGTTAGCTCTTAGTTTTAGTTAGTTAGTAGTTTTTATATTTTACGTTCAGACCACAAGTGGTTGGTCTTCGTATCCCGCAGTGTGGGGGCTCCTGTAATAGTGTGGAAAATAAAGGGTAACTAAACCCTTCTCATCTTGTTATCTCTTCAATACTCCTTAAGACATAGTTTGTAGTCAAACTCTTTGTCCAGTCAGAACATGTCATGTTTCCAAAACAAATTAAAAGGAATACAAGTCCTGATAAGTTGTATGCTCATTATTGAAAATTTTATACAAATAATATAAAATGTATGAAATCTTGCTTAGACTCATATATTATTCTCGTCACGAAATAAGGTACGTAACTTCAAGTCATTAAGTTACAACATTTCCTGCTCACGTATATTGTATATTATGTTACAGTGGTATTTCAAATTTTATTATTTTCGCTTCTTTTACCATATCAGCTTAAATTCATATACACTTGTTTACCATACAAAATACAATACAAATTGGTTTCATTCATTTGTAACTTTTAGTAACAAGAAGTTGCGTAAGCTTACTCTATGTAAAATTTGTTATGCACTGAAAATAGTTTGAACTGAAAAATGTCTTTTCTTTTTGAAAGTATTTTTAATCTGCAAGCAGATTAACACAAGTAAATAACAGAGAGCAAAGAAACCAAAAACGGTTTTAATTAAAAGGCTAACAATAATTTTTAACCAGTAGCTTTTTTTTTGTTTAAACGTTGCGCGCCTCCAACTTGCACGCAACCAAGAGGTGACTGTGAAAACTGGATAAAACAGAGTCTTGTAAGGGTTTAAGTCCCTTTTTATTCAACGTAATAAATTACAATTGCGTGCTCTTGACGCTCACAGACTGCGCCAACTCGGCGGTCAAATAAAAATAATAACCTGAAAAGAAACTAAAGACAAGACTCTAACTACGAGGCTCTCTCTAAAATAACTAACCTCACCGCGTTTTACAATACCGCTGCTAATTCAGCAGAACTTGAAGCTCACTTGAACGATTAACACTACTTCCCGCCAAGCACATAGGCCGAAACGCGGGGTTCTTCAATTTCTCGCTAACTACCTCCGCGCTCGTGAAGTAAGAATATCACACACCGAACTCGTTTCCTTCTATTTAAATCAGAATACTTCCGCTGATAATTTGAATCCTTGCGCGTTCTACTAAAATTTACATATTCTGGCATTGGCAGTTCCAGGGGAAAGTAAGGCTTGACAGGAAAGATAGTTTAAACTTAAAATAAATGTTAGTTAAAATAAATATAAACCCTACATTTGCCGCTGCCAGAATTTGGAAAACTTGGAAGCAGGTCCTACAAACGACCTGTTGTAAGTTTCTCTAATTCTGAACTAACTGGCGAGAACCTCGTTTACACAAAAAAAAATCTTATGTAACAAATTGTATACTAAAATTTCTGTTGATACGTTATAAAGCTCTCTTCTTACAGCAACTTTTCCTGGACTTCATCAATCAATCTTGGTCTTTCCTTCCAGCATCTGGAAGGAATAAGTATCAGTATCTTTCTAAATACATTATAATTTACACTTTCTTGACACAATAAATTTTTGTTTTTAAACGATTCGTTTTTCCTTAGTTATTGCTTACTTCACATTCATTCAATTTTTCAAGCATTAATTTAACTTTACCCTGGCTCTCCACCATGTGTGGTGTCAAACGGGAATATTCGTGTTTTAGTCTTACAACACTTCCCCTAACCACCATGATTTGTTAGAATTCAACGACCAAATAGACACACCTTACTCGACATTCTACAACTCAATGAGCTACTTTAACATTCTTAAAAATTCAAATGTAGGTGGAGAACCCTACAAAACACATTCATTCTAACTTCCCCCTCATTCATCTTTAAACATGCAGGCTTTCGCTCTAAAGCATGACTTTATCTACAGTTTAATACTTAAATTTTGACTTCATTGCTTTTAAGCATTCACTTTTAGCATCTACAATTTTATGCTTCTAGACTAAATTCTACTTTTACATAACATTCAAGTATTTACGTACATTTACAAAATTTTAATACATATGATTTTTACAATTTACCATAAAATGAATAAGAGAAAATAAATTTTTACTTTACTCATTCTTCGCCAAGCTGGCGGCACTGAAACTAAAATTCTTATTAATACAAGAATACGAAGTTATTTTTATCTTCGGCCAAATTTTGGCTTTAACATAACAGAATTAGTCTTTCGACCAACAGAAAATGCTTGTTTTTAGCTTTTACACTTAAAGAAAATAATACTTTTGCCTTAGCTAAATAAAGTAAAACAAAACTAAGTCTCAACCGAGACATATTGACTTTCGTCAAAACATAGAACTTCGTACTTATGCATAACATTTCGGAACAAAAGAAAAAAAAAATTATAGAAGGTTTTTAACTTATCTTTGAGTTTTCGATGCTTGAAACTCCGTCATTCGTTTTTTGGCAAAATTGTTCCCAAGTTAGAGGTTTCATGGATGTCAATCTTCTCCTTACTGATCCTCCGAGTGTCGTCCACGTTGCTTTTTCTTTTGCGTCCTCTACATGCTGGCCTCTTGGCGGAGTAATCGTCTGGTTGTTGGCCTTTCCGTTTTTCCCTGGGACGGCTGGTCTTGACGTCCTCCGGTCTGGAGTCCTTCTTGAATTTCTTCTGTTCCTCGTATTTTTGTGCCTCCTGTTGCGTTTCAGTTTCCGGAACGGCGGCCTTGCTGGCACCTGACTCTGTGGCCGTGGTGCGCGTTCTCCTTGATGTATAATTTCTCCTGCGATCCTTTGTAGGTGGTGTTTTTCTCTTTACCACGGTTTCTTTACCGGTGCATCTGTATTTTGTTTTTCTTAAACGCTGGAGTTTGAAAATTTTCATTTTTTTTTTGATACCGACGTCCGGGTTGTAGAAGGGCTAGGTCTCTCTTCAGTTCTCTGTTTCTTGGGTGGTGGAATAGTTGTTGTTAGTCTCTGGACCTTCTACTTCGTTTAGACTTGAGTCCTGCAAGAAACTTTTAAGGATTTCAAAATCATTTGGATTATAGTATTTTTTCACCTGGTCGGGACTTGCTTTACAGATTTCCCCTCTCTCGTTCTTAAGATATAATACTACTCCTTTGATTTCCTGAATTACATAGGGGCCTTCAAACTTTGGAGCTAGCTTTGCCATAAAATTGTCTGGGGCACTTGATAAAGAAAATTTCCGCTTCAATACTTTATCCCCAACTTTAAAATCTGCTTCACGGCGTTTTCTATCATAATATATTTTCTGCCTATTTCTTGCCGTATCCGAGGTTTTTTTAAGCGCCTGATCAATCAACTTTTGCACATCTTTTTGTTTAAACTCCTGCTCTCTTTTGTTGCACAAAGAATAATTTATCTAAAGGCGTAATTAATTTTCTTTCGGCCTAAAAATAATTCTGCTGGAGTTTTTCCCGTAGTATCATGATGTTGCCGTTCTTAAAGCATAAGCTAATTCATTTATGTAGCCATCCCAGCGCTTGTGATGTGTGCTCAACGTAACTGCGAATTATTTTTACTATGTTTTTATTAACTCTTTCTGCTATGTTAGCCTGTGGTCTATACGGAACCATTTTGATATGGCGTATGCCAAGTCCATTGCATATGTTTTCAAATATTTGACTAATGAATTGTTTTCCGTTATCGCTAATGACTTTTATCGGTGCACCGTATTTTAAAATGTATCTGTGTAAGAATGCATCTGCGACTGTTTTGGCTGACGCGCGTTTAAGTGGAACAATTTCTGTCCATTTTGAAAAATGATCTACTATTACTAAAAGAAAACGATTTTTATTTAACTCGCTCTGGGGGAAGGGACCAAGAAGATCTATGCCTAAAATTTCATTCGGAAATGTAGCGCGAATGCTATTTAAGTACCCGGCCGGGCTGTAATTAATATCATTTATTAACTGACATTGATTGCAGGACCTGACATACGCCGTTACTATTTTGTATAATTGCGGGAAATATACCGCCTCGCGTACCCTTTTTAAGTCTTTCTGACCCCTAGGTGGCCCGCTGTTTTTGCTTCGTGCAACTCCTTCAAAATGCTTAATCGAAGCGAGGCTGGGATGACTGGTTTATACTCAAGATTTTCGTTTGTTGTTTTCGTATAAAATAATAAATTATCTATTATTTCATAGTTTTTTGCTCTATTTCTTATCGCATCGATATCTGTGTGCTCAAAGCTTTCGGGGTCTTTCAAATAAGCATAGATATTTCCAAATTCAGGATCAGCTTTCAGTTCAGTAATAACCGTATCTCTAGAATCTAAAATTTTTGAAGTCAACACAGCGCATTTAAGTTCATTTCCTTCATCGTCCAGTTTTATACGAGAAAGTGCGTCAGCTACATTGTTTTCCTTACCCGGTTTATATTTTATTGTGATATTATATTCTTGGAGTTTTAAAGCCCATCTTATTAACCTGGGCGTTAGGTTTTTCCCCGAGTAAAGTCTACCAACAGCCGCATGATCCGAAAAGACTGTTACTGGCGATTTGCCGAAATAAACTCGAAATTTGTGTACAGCCATTAATACGGCTAATGTTTCTCTTTCTGTAGCTGTATAATTCCTTTGTGTCTGATTCAATGTTTTACTAAAAAATGCCAGAGGATGGTTATTTTGCATAAGAACCGCACCCACCGCATAGTCTGACGCATCTGCTGCAATTTCCAGGTTTTCGTCCCCCTCCGGGAATTTTAAAACAGGGGCATTAATAAGCGCTTCTTTTAATCTTTCAAAAGCTGTGTTAGCTTCCGCTGTCCACGTAAATTTACCCTTTTTTTCTTTTGATTACTAAGAGTGGTTCAACAATATTAGCGAAATCTTTTATGAAAGATCGATAGTAAGAACATAACCCAAGGAAAGAAGAAAGTTTCTTGGCGGTGTTGGGCGGTGGGAAATTCTTAATAGCTTTTATTTTTGAATCTTGCGTTTCTATACCCTTTTGCGAAATTTTATAACCGAGATATTTAAGTTCTTTAGTTGCGAACTTGCATTTTGAGGCGTTAATTGTAAGACCGGCCTCTTTTAATAATTTAAAAACTTGTTCTAGATCATTAATGTGTTGTTCCAACGTACTACTCGTTATAATTATATCATCTAGATAAATTAAAGTTGATTTTCCTAGGACAGGCTTTAGAACAATGTCCATAGCTCTCTGGAATGTTGATGGGGCCCCACACAACCCAAAGGGCATGCGTAAAAATGCATAAGTGCCCGATTTTGTTATAAACGCGGTTTTATGTATATCTTCGGGTCTCATAGCTATTTGATAGTAGCCAGACGTTAAGTCCAAAGTAGACATATATCTTGTCGATTTGATCTGTTCTAATGATCTCGTCTATAACCGGCAAAGGGTAAACTGGAAATTTAGTAATACTATTTAGTTTTCTGTAATCAATAGCAAACCTCCAAGCCCTTTTATCCGAAGGAGGAAACTCGTTCTTTTTCCTACATAGTACGACTGGACTCGCGTACTCACTATTTATGGGCGTTATTATTTTATTCTTTAACATCTCCTGAATATGTTCCTCGATGATTACGTCTTTTTGTTTGTCATAGCGATAAGGTTTAGTCCTACAAGGTTTTTCGGCATTTAATTGAATCTTGTGCGTCACTATTTGGCAGTTTCCTGGTTTTTCTGAAAACAAATGAGAAAAATTACTCACCACTTGCTGTATTGCTTTCCTTTCATGGTCATTCAGATGGCTAAGGTCCACTTGAGGTGTCTCCACAGGTTCCACCACCCTCTGGTCCATCTCCAACACCACGGAACTATCTTGAAAATTTAATTTGGCCCTCGCGGCCCTTAAAAAGTCCATACCTAAAATAAGAGAATGTTTGCAGATCTTTCACTACAAAAATTAATACTTTGAGACTTTCCTCTTTTACCTGTAAGTTTAATGATAATTTCCCGATGCAGTGACATGTTTTTCCTTGCGCCGCTATAATTTCCGTATTTTTGGTTTTTAAATAATCGTACCCTATAAAAATTCTTTTGAAGAAATTTTCACTCATAAAATTTCCTTCTGCTCCTGTATCGATGAGGGCTTCTACTGGTACATCGCCAACCAGGACTTGTATAATTGGTAGCTGTGAGTTTTTTACGATGACCGTATTTAAATGTCTATTTGAGGGTTTTTTTAAAACTTCCGGGGTCTGGACCCTCCCTTTCACAGGCCCCTCTACTCGTTTAAAGCTTTCCTTTCAATCTGTGTCTTCTGGGTACGCGGATGTTTATTTTCAAATTTTCTTTTTGGGCCTTGACCTTCGAGTTTCGATGCGTTAGCTTGATAGCTTTTTCCCCCATAAGAGCGATTTCCATTTCTGGTTTCCTCATTTGAAGATTTCCTTCGGGTACTTTGAGAATACGTTGCCCCTCTCGCTTTTTCCGCTATTCTGCGATTTTGAAACTTCACCGCCAATTCGAAGAGTTCCTGCAATGTGCTTGGGTTTCTAATTTCAAAGTAGTCTTGAACAGCGGGTAACAATCTTGGCAAGATTATTTCAATAATCTCCGCATCGGGTTTCTTCCCATACAGCATATCCGTTAGCTTGATTTTTCGTAGAATAAAGTCCGTCAATTCTGCTATATACCGTTGATAGAAACTATATAGTTCGGCTTCCAGCCGTGCGCGATCTTTCACTATGGGGAAGGCCTTTACTAACGATTTTTTGAAATTTTCAAATGTATATGTCTGGCTTCCAAATTCCCCTAATAAAAATTTGCCTATATTTTTCCACCATAGCGCGGCCTGTCCTCTTAGTGCTGATGTGGCGATGGCAACTTTTTGTCTTTCAGGCACAGGGTAGAGCTGAAAGTGGTTTTCTAGACCTTCTAGAAAAATACCGCCACCGAATTTTTTCCGTCGAAATGGACGTTTGGCTTGATTGACGCTCTCAAAGTCTGGACCAGGTATCCAAATCCTTCCAATTGAGTTGTCATTTCTTGGTGTTGTCCAGCGGCTTCCATCCAATTTTCGGCCATTTCAGTTCGATAATTGTTCGGGCGTCAATGTAACGTTGCGCGCCTCCAACTTGCACGCAACCAAGGGGTGACTGTGAAAACTGGATAAAACACAGAGTCTTGTAAAGGGTTTAAGTCCCTTTTTATTCAACGTAATAAATTACAATTGCGTGCTCTTGACGCTCACAGACTACGCCAACTCGGCGGTCAAATAAAAATAATAACCTGAAAAGAAAGTAAAAAGACAAGACTCTAACTACGAGGCTCTCTAAAATAACTAACTCACCGCGTTTTACAATACCGCTGCTAATTCAGCAGACTTGAAGCTCACTTGAACGATTAACACTACTTCCCGCAAGCACATAGGCCGAAACGCGGGGTTCTTCAATTTCTCGCTAACTACCTCCGCGCTCGTGAAGTAAGAATATCACACTCCGCCGAACTCGTTTCCTTCTATTTAAATCAGAATACTTCCGCTGATAATTTGAATCCTTGCGCGTTCTACTAAAATTTACATATTCTGGCATTGGCAGTTCCAGGGGAAAGTAAGGCTTGACAGGAAAGATAGTTTAAACTTAAAATAAATGTTAGTTAAAATAAATATAAACCCTACAAGATAAACATTCAGAAGGAATGGTAACCCTTGGTTCACCAGGCACATGTCTTCGGACGACTGTGTAGCTTTTTGGAATTGTTTTCACGTTCAGGAAATTATTGAATAATCATCAACAAAGAAAAAAGCGATGTCATAAATTCATTCTCCTGCTTCAATGCTCCAGATGGCTTGCCACCACTCATTCTCTGCCATTTGTCTTCTTTCAGCTACAGAAATAGGAATTCCATCAAGTATGATCCAACCAAAGTTACAAGCACTTCGTATAGGCATTTAAATGAACCTTCTCAAACTCTTCAGATTGCTGGGGTCTTCAACGAATGCTTCAACTTTGCATATGACCAGACAGTCAATTGTCATTGGCTGTCACATACGATATTTATATATTGTCCTCTGCATCCGGAGCGATTTTTAGCCGCTCAAATTCAACTACGCTTTCGAAAATTGCTAATCTGCATTGCATGTTTAACTTTTGGAAGCCAGAGTATTTCTGATTTTTTATGCATTATTTTTGGCTTTTTAAGAATAAGCATGCAGCAAATCAAAATATGTAGCCATTTTGAGTGATTGTATGCTTAAAAGGTTAAGTATTCTAAAATGTTCCATTATTGTGCTCTGTTCATTACTTACCGACTGATTCCTTTATAATATAAGGAATTTCTCCTCCAGGCCATCTTTGAGAATCAAGAGGAACTGCGTTTCTATCCTAAAATATATCACAATAATTGATGTTAAGTATATTTAATATTAATTTTTAAATTTTATTACTTCTGTTTTCTACCAGGAAATAATTCAATGAAACGATAAATAACACTGTAATTATTTTACGACAGAAAAATAAAACGTTTCTTTAGTAGAAATAAGATTTTAATAATTAGTTTCTGGTAATAGCGATTTACAAAAAAGTGCTAAAATTGCTATCTATTCTTGCGCTTTTAACTATGTAATTAAACTTATTAAAAAGAACTTAAGTCAAAATTAATAATTCGTTTATTTTATGATTGAAAAACCTCGCTTTTCTTGTTATTCTTTGCAACTGTTCTTCGAACTAAAAGAATTGATTATCAAAAGGGAAAGAGCAGCTACTAAAACATAATTTAATAAACTATTACTATTGGAAAGAATTTGCTCAAATTAAAATATTCAAAAGCCTCACTTTTTACATAAATTTATTCAATTCAGGTGCATTTGCTTCTATTTCATTTTTCAGAAATTTAAATTTTGTGAAACTCCTATCACTAAATAATTTCTGTCTGATGTAATTTAGTAGTAAATTTTATAAGACAGAAATCTGAATATTGTACAAAAAATTCACGCCATTTTGGTTACGATTGGAAATTTCGTTGAAAATATTAAAGAATTTGAAACACGTGAGTATATTATTTACTAAACATTAAATAAAATAATTTATTTTTAAATATTAATTCTTATCAATTTTATGTAATCTCCTAGATGCAAGCATTAATCTTTTAATATTGTTTCGTTTTAGAAATTTTTCAAATTAAATCGCATTAAGGAAACTTGTTCTTCTTGATCTTTTATTGTAAAACCATTAAATTTGTACTGATTTTGAGAGAGAACTGGGATAAATAATTTCGAAAACCCTTTGATATTAAATCGTCTTTTACATAAAGTACGCATAGATTCCTAAAGAAGTGAAGAACACTTATATTTGTTCTTCAAAACTAATGCTTTAGCTGAAGTAGACAAAACTTTCATTATTTTGTTATAATATAGCATCTACTATTATTACCTCTCGCCAATCTATATACATAGGTAAGTAGTATATTCGGCTCAAAAATTGGCTAGGGAGTTTTCAGTGAATAAGCACCACCAAGTGTCCCTATAACACATTTTTACTATTTTTACAATGATGTCTATCTGCCTGTGTATCAGTGTGTAGGTGTGTGAGAATGTTTCGTACAAAAGAACTCTTATATCAAACTTCCAAAAATTTCTATTTTTTGTATTTAGGTTTTCTGTATTAATATAAAGAGTTAATTAGATTTTAGATTTTGGGTAAAATTAGACAACTGGAAGTGGACCATTACTTGAAGTCCATATAGACAACCGGAAGTGGTACTGTATTTGAACCAGTTTTTAATGAAAATCTATATTAACATATAGTTCAAAACTTTTCAATTTTAATATTAAACATTTATATATCAACGTTTGTGGCTATTTATATTATATATATATATTTATATATAGACTTTTTATATATGTTATATATATAAAGTTATTTTAAGCTTAAACTTAGATATATATATTATATATTTATTTTATAATTTTCCCTTTTATATCAAAGGAAAAACATATTATATTTGGGCTAAAATTGAAAACCAGAAATGATTACTTCATGATCTGAATGGAATTTCGTGAAAAAATACATTATGATATAGTTCAAACTTAGCGAGCATTGTTGAAGCTTGGAGAATAATAGCGAGAATTGTTTGCTGATATCTAAACATTGAAGGGATGTACAAGCAGTTCAAAATGAATTTAGATTTATTGATACTATAGAAACAACATAGAAGAAAATTAAGTTATTGTATTTGGTATTAAATTATGGTAGTACCTATTTATTTTAGATATGTTATAATCACCGAAATTTTTTTAAGTCCAATTGAATTATATGCTATTCGTCTGCTCAAATGAAATTTTTAATAAAAGAAATAAAGGGGCAAACATGTGATTATATTGATCCCTTTTTTCATGGCATTATATTCAATAAAATATAATCCAAAATTTCAAATTGCAGACCTCTCTATTTATTGGAATAATAAATAAGATTTTGTTTACAAATGAATCACGGGAAGCAATGTTTACTTAAAGTTTGTGGCTATTTAAAACGTAGAATTGACGGAAGGTCATATGCTGGCCACTTCAGAATTTTATTTTGAGATTCTGATATTTTTAATCTTATATTTCAGAGAACTTAATTCAAGGTATATAGTGGCTCACAAAATGAGATCGGGTACATTTGATTTCTGAAAATGCTGTGGAAATTTTAAATGTTTTAAATGAAAACTATTGAATACAATTGAAGAAAGAGTTTGTGCAGTAAACTGTAAAGTATCTTATGCTAATTAATCAATAGTTATGATATATAACTTCTCCTTTCCGTATTCCTCATTAGAATGAAAATTAATTTTGTGTGTATTTAAATTGCAGATTTTGAATTTTTAGATAAGATCTTCTGGCTGTCGCGTTTTCTTGTTAGTATTTTCCGCAAACTCTTCTTTAAAGTGATAGGCTGGCGTTAAAATTTCCGCTAATCGAAATTTTAAACACAAGCCGCTAAGTTATCTGATCCGGGTTATTTTTAGTGTTTAATTTGTAGTCTTAGAATACTTTATTAGCGTTTAAATTCAGCTGTCTTTATGCTAATTTAAAAGTCCACAAGTGATGAAAGTTCCGTCTGTAGAACAAGTTGCGCTTGTTCTGTTACATTAAGATTGAACAAAAAGGTTAATTTAATTTTCTTCTTTATTTTGTGAGTTGCTTGACGCAGCTAAAACTCGGTACATCTGAAGTGAACCGTGCCTCTAAAAGCAGTGGCGCCTCTAAAAGTGAACTTGTATATGTTGATGTCCTGCGAGATTGCTAGCCATACACGTTCCAATTGCCGAATTAGATCAGTGCGATACAGGGACGTCGGTGACACCTGCTCATCAGAGCACAAGCATGCTGTATTGGTGCTTATTAATTTAAACAGTCTAGCAATCGCGTTAGTCAGGAAAGTGTTGGAGAAGCACGAAGGCAGCCGTGTACCAGCCGGGGATTATCCTGTTGAAACGTAGGCACAAGGGTTCGTGGAAAGAAAGGTAACACTATGGGGGTAGAATCTCGTCGACGTGCCGCCATGCTGTAAAGGTGCCAAAAGTAATAACTAAAGCGGTCAGGTTATCGAATGAAATGACACCCCATACAAAATAACTCCTGGTTGTCAGTCTGTGTAGCGGGCGACAGTCAGATGGGTACCCGAGTGCTGGAAGTCTCCAAACATTTCTTCGCTGGTCATCGAGCTCAATTCGAAGAGGGTCTCATTGCTGAAAGCAGTTCTACTCCAGTGAGTGAGAGTGAGGTCCCATGTCGAATGCATCTGATACCCCTACAAATGTGCCTGGCGATGTGCAGCGGTGAGGGGCAGTTAGTATAATGGCCTCCCTGACCTCAGTCCTCTTTGAGTCCCCTATCAATGGTCATTACAGTCATTGGTATCATTGTTACACGTCAGATCGTTGATAAGGATGCATTAGGAGCAGTGAATGCAAATCGGACGACACTTTGCCCTCACTCTCGGTTTATAGTTACCTTCATGACCCTCTGAAAGGCTATAATTCATCTATTCCTGCCAATATCGTCGAATCGAATCCCCACTTCTACCACAAATTCTAGCAATCCTGCTTCTTTTAAAACACCTGCACGTGCTCTCTCACATCGTGATATCTGCTCATACTGTTCGCGAAACTGTCTACGAAGCATTGGTACAATCCACGTATTTCAAAGGAACATTCACGTAGAAGTTATGTCTTATGATTGGAATATCCTGTGTTTTATACATCCTCTGGATGTTCTGCTGCAATGCGCTGGAGCTCTAGCTAGTCAGTCATTGGCTACCAAAGTTAACCATTTGTATATTTTAATTAAAAGTACGGGTATACGCAATTTTTTCCCATTCGGATAAGTCCTTCTTGGTGTGCCGCTTTCTGTGTTGTAAAGTGTATGTGTAATACAGTGTTATTTTTACACTAAATATTTCCTGCCAAAATAAAACATTGGGTTTGGATGGAGACTGAAAATTTATGTCTTCACTTTTGGACCAGAAAATCATGTAAAAGAATATTAAGACACTCAATGCATAAAACTTAAAAAAATTAAATATTTTGCTCCGTTATTATTAGTTTTTTTTGGCTGTATTCAACCAGATTTTTTATTCCTTCTAATCCAGTTTTCTTCCACTCATCTTGGGTTATTAATTTCAAATACTGATTTAAAGAAATATTTTGTTTTCAAATATTTCATATCATTGCAAGCCAAATTCATTTGAAAGGATTTAAATGCGGGTATTGAAAAATAACTTTAAATATATCAGTATTATTAGACAGCAGTCAGAGCTGTACATTCATAAGGTTAAGATTAAGGTTATTGTTTTATAGAATTATTCTATTAATATTCTAGTATAATTCTAGTAGAATTACTGTCCTAACTTACAATTTTAGTAAAAGTAGCCAGTTTAAAGGTAACTAGTTTAGTCGAATTCGGAGTTATATTTACCAATGATTTGAAATATTATTTTAAAACCTAAACATTGTCATAATACATCAGTAATATCTTTTTAACTTGCTAACCTAGCCGCTGAGCTGAACATATTGTATTTTTGCTTTAAATCTCGTGATTAATGACCTCTGACCTGATTAATAAAGTTCTTCTTCAAAATTCAGTATTCGTTCATTTTAATTACCTTGAGCAGTACGTTATAGCATTCTATCTTGAACAGTACTTTATAGCATTCCATCTTGAACAGTTTATTGCATTTTATAGGTCTTGAAATCTCAAGTATTCTTTCATTTTTAATTCTATCATACTTTGGATTATAGTTTAGTGTATCAAACAACTATTAAATATTTTAAATGAACCATTTCTTCAACTTTTCTAATACACCTCCCTCTTTCGTAACTTCAGATTAAAAAGAAATTTACTCATTTCTTAATAGAGTGCTTTTTTGAAGGAGACATAAAAATAGAACTTTGAAATAATTATAATTCTCCGAAAGTTTTATAGAAGAATTCTGGGTTTCAGCATTAAGTACTGTGATAAATGCACATACTGTAAGTTATTACAGATGATTTTTTTCATAGTCTGAGCAGCGTGCGAAGACCTTTTTTATTTTTCTGCTTTAAACACAAGCTGTTAAAATTGCTGTATTGAGAAAGAAACATTTTAAAAGAAAACTAAGAAACAAGATTCAGTTTAATGCACTTAAAATTTTGGACATCATTTTCGGAAATTAAAAGTGCTCGATTACTTTTGAAAGAAGCTGCGTATGTTGAGCTGTCGCGATTTTTCTTACAAACACAATCCTTATTTTTAAAATTTTGAATTTGAGGAAGAGAAATAATTTTCAATCAAATGAAAAGTCTGATTTGTTATCTTAATTGTTAGGAGATTTTAGAGTTTATGTCCAATAAAAAACATTTAGACAAATGCTTGAAGAAGAAGATGGAATATCTCTCACCTTTGATCTTGAAACACCTAACATGTCTCCTTCGAACATTCCTGGATTTATCATAGGATCTTTCTCCTTCCCTTTATAGAGGGAAAAAAATTAAATTAAATTATTTTTAATCAATATGAGCATTAATTCTATAGCTGTGCCTGAGATTATTAAAAGGAATGCAGGATTTTTAAGAAAATACCTATTAGTTTAGCTGGCAAGGGAATATATTCATTGCGGCGTAATTTCAGAATTCCAATTCAAAAGAAAAAATGAATTTAAAAATTAATTTTACCTAGCCTTACCCAATTTGCTGCTTCGAAATCAAAGTTTAGCCTTACCCTAATTTGCTACTTAGGAAACAATTATAAAGTGTTTAGGAAAAAATATGCTTAATATTTAAATATTAAGAAAAAGTACCATTATGGGAAAATTGTATGAAACGTATTGCATTGGGAATAAAACGTCCGAAAATAGTCAGAAAACACCAAAAAATAAAATACAATTACTACATATGAAACTTATTTTCCCGTACAACGTTCGTAGTCTTGGTTTTCTACGATTTTATATATGAACGATAATTTATCTATATATATACATATTTAAATATTACAAGAACAGAAATATATACGCATGATTAAAAAACAAATTGAGGTTTAATTAAGCGTTTGAATATTTGCTTGAAAACAGTTTAGCCTTTAAATGAAGTTTTACACCTGGAAATGAATCGCGTATTTGAATGACAGTTATCTTTTATACATGAATATTCCATGTTTTCATCTGGTATGCAAAGACAGTATCAAGTGTACATAAATTTTAATGATTTGAAGTTAAGCAGATAAATTTTGCATTCTGGCAGGAAAATGGAAGGTAGAACTGACAGTAAAGATACTGAATATAAAATAACTGGTTAATTTAAATAAATACCTTACATCTTTCTCTGCCAGTATTTAAATAATCTCAGCGAAGTCTTAACGACCTTGTTGAGATCTTAAATTTCAACTAACTACGAGCCAACTTTTTGCAACAGAATAGTAACAAAAAATAATTTTAAAGCTAATCTTAAATCTATATGATAAAGAGTTCGATCTCCATCAAACAGTTTTCTTCAACTTAAATTGACGATAAATCAGCTGCTGTTCTTCTTCCAATCATTCGGAAGAAAAGATATTTTAGCAGAAAACTTCAATTACATGTTATATTATTTCAATTCAGTCCAGCCTTTCTGAGCATTTTCTTATTTAAACACTTCATCAAAGTCATTTTAATACGATTTTATCAGATTTTTTATTCATTTTCATTTATTCTAATTAAATCTTTCTTCCCTACTGCTCTTCAGTAATATATTTAAATGTATAAGCAAGTGTTATTTGTAAAAGCGTAGCAACACTAACCTAACCAACATCCTACACGTTAGAAATTTGGACTCACTAGACCTCAAAAACACTTAACTTCAAAACCGCACCTAATGTGCTAACAACATAAGTAATTCAAATTTTGTGTTGGTCTTAGGGTCTAACCTTTAGTTTGATGCATAGCCCTAGCTTTTGCTTTTAACTTAATTTTCGCTTCTTTTGCTAGCTCACATTTACTTTACTTAACACATATATTAACAGAACTTTTAAGGTTTGCAATAAAAAATATTAAACACACTACATGAAATATTTACAATATATTAATTTAATAAAATTCAGTTTGAACTTTACATCATATGCTCATACGTTGCTTAAAGTTACTTCTCGAAATTTTCTTAACATCAGAATGTTAGAATAAAGCAGAATTTATATTTTTAGAAACAAACTTCTTACAAACAGTATGAATAAATGCACATTTGAATTCAGAGCTTCTTGCTACTTGAGAATAACCGAAATGAGTTGAGAACAACTGTTGCACATTTCGACATAAAACAAAAATTGAATCTGTGAAGGAAAGTAAATTTCAGTCAACTTTTCCATTCACCTAATAACGAAATCCTTCCATGAAGCTTTGCTTACGGCCCTCTAATTCTTCTTCGGGCCTGCGTTTCACAGTCTCGTCGAGTTTGCTTTTTTCTAAGCTCCCTTTCCTGAATTTTCCACTTTTCCAGTCCTTGAAGACTTTTTAGCTAAGCTGTCAATTTCCGTTGATTGGAGATATCGTCTCGGACTTGAAGTTTACCCTGGAATCTTTCGCCTAGAAGATAGGCGAACCGGATGGCTGGAACGTTCGCAGCCTCTTCTACAGTGTTGGAATATCCTCCGCCGGGCGTATCTTCCATAGAACCTACCGTGAAGACTCATCGTTGTGTTTGGGAACAAGCGCTTGACTTCCTTTCTAAACTCTGAGCTTGCCGTAAGTCGTAAGTCGTTCACAGGAATCCTTGTACTTCTTTGGCTGCTTCCTTGACGTTTTGTTCCTACTAGTGTTTGGCACCAAACTTAATCTTTTTGAACTTTCTTCCACACTTGCTATTATCCGTCTCTTTATTCCGGGAATGTATGGTTCCGATGTCAGTGGTGATTAAATTTATTGTTTCGTTTTAGTTGCGATAGAGATGGTGTATATCTATGGCAAGTACAAAATAATTTCATGTTTAACTTATGGAAAAATAAAAATTCGTTTTATAATTTCTTAACTGAAAATAAAGGTATTTAAATATCGTAAAAACCTCTGTTGAAATAATGTATGATAAAAACGTGCGAAATTTTTCTCCTTGCTTTACATTAAATCTATATGTTTTCTGAAGAATACAGATAAACCATTTTTCAGGATTTTTTTAATATATGACAGATTGCAGTACTAGTTAAGAATCTGGATATCTGGAGTTCTGTTGTGCCTTTCCTCAACAAATAAAGCACTGCATGCAGCTAAGTTATCTTTCCTAGATGTAGCATAAAGAATAAGGCATCAAAGTAAAGTTTCAGATGTAAAAATGATGCAGTACCATTTTGCTGCATTTTTTCATTGAGTCTGCATTACGTCTTTTACACATTTTTAACAAATCTTAAACTTTTCTTTTGGTACGTTCCTCGTATTTACATTTTAACACGAGATTTTAGTATTCATACTGAGCTATCATTTCAACAAAGATGATTTCATTATAATCTGTCTTAATCACTAGCAATACAATTAACAATTTTAGCAGCATTTTCTAGAAAATGAATCTTTCATTAAAAAATATTCTAGTTCTAAAATTTTGATTAAATTTTTTATTTAAATTTTTGATTATACCAAACAATTTCCAAGTTTGTTTTTATATAAAACATTACCTGGTAATGCCCATGATGAGGTAGTAAACGAGAGAGAAGTAGAGAAAACGAAAAGGATCAACGGCAACATCCTTCTAGTTCCGTTCTGGAGAGAATATAGACTGCTGAGTTTTATCTTAAGATAAAAAGTCACATTCGATAAAAATTATGAGAAACCAGCTGTGTTTTTTAAATCGCGAATCTCAAAGATAATTTTCTATGATATGAATAAAATGTATTTTCATACGCAAAAGAAAATTAAAAGTTTCTCATCCTTACATTTTCAGAGAAAAATTTCCTTAAATTTTCGGATAAGTCAGTAACAAAATGTTTGTAAGAAAAATAATCTTTATTTCGGATTTTAAGTGAGCTGTTTGAATATTAAGCGTATATTTATTAAACATACATCGAGCTTGATTTTAATTGCTGCCTACAATAGCCTTTCATCATTTGAATGAAAATTTCCGCTATACATTGTCTTTTAAAAAATAGAATACCTAAAAGTACTTTTGTTTTTGCAGAATATGTTAGCTAGGCAACATACAGAAAAAGCTTAGCATCTCGATATAACATTTATTATGTACAATAAGTTAAGAAATGTTGTGTAAATTCATATCCGACTCGTGTTGCTTCCTCTAAACGCCGTGAACTAAACAAATTTTTATGTTGTCCTAGATGTAGAATAAGCACCCAAGCTGCAGTCATCCGTGGCCAGAAAAAAGAAACTACAAGGTTGTATTCAAGCATTAATAGAAGTCTTAATACTTAATAGAATGTAAATCCCGTTATATTTACTAGAAGTATTGTGAAATTGGTCAAGTTAGAAATATCGAAATTTCATGGGGAGCACAATACGTGGCTAGACACTTGAATGGTTTTTAAGAAGAAATACTTAATAATGAAATACTGACAAAGGAGAAAAAAATCAGCTGCTTAACATGTCATTTGTTAGGGAGTATTCTTACAGCGTTTTCAGGATTTTCCTTAAGTAGTGAGAATAAGTAGTTGTCCCTAAGGAGTGGTTTGGTCGAACTGTCCTTATCAGTTCTCATGTAATTAAACTGTTAGCTAGCAAGCCAGCAACAAACTCGATTAATATAAACACATTAAGAAAGTTGCACGACGAGCTTCAAGCGCAGTTAAGAAGTTTACAAATTCTTGACGTCACTGTAGGTTCGCATGGGAATATATTATGTCTTTTTATTTTACAAAAATTGTCTGAAGGAATGAATTTAGACAGAAAACTAATTTAAAACTTTAAGAAAGCGAAATGAGTTTGTTTAACATTTTTAACAAGAAAAATAGAATGTAGAGAAGCATCTACCTTGTTAATTCATTCTAACTATAGAAACGTTAGTAGTGGTGGTGTATTTAATTATGGCAAAGCACACTAGGGCTATCTGCCTAAGGGGAGGGATGTCTTCGTGGAGGACTTTCTAAGGGAAACTGGCTCGTATACACGTTACACATGGGAAAAACCACGAAAACAGCCATGCAGCCAGTCCGTTGGCGGGATTCGAACCTTGGACTGAACTACCAGTGTTTAGCGACTTTACCGCTCGGCCGCTGGTGGGCGCTATGTTAGTAGTGGAGTCAGGAGGAAAACTCAGGAGGAAAAATTCGAATAAAATTACTCTTTCTAGAAGAATAGAAGTGTAACTGCATTAACTAATTCACTGCAAGAAGGCCGTATGTTTTGCAGAATTAAAGCACATTATGCAGGAAATTACCCATTGGCCCTTCTGGATAGAAAGTGAAAAGTAAAATTGCAAGGATTATGTTTTCCTTGTCTGAAACATCGGCATGTCGCCAAACAGGTGTTGGCGCAAATACATCTTGTAACATATGCAACCAATCACATAGTTACTTAATTTTTGACAGAGTAGTTAAGAAGAGTGATACCACACCCAAGTCTGAGAATACGTCAACTGCATTTCTAATTTGAATTGTTTTCTAATTTGAAAGGCATTTTATTGCAAAATACTAATGATATTTTAAACACAGCAAGAAAATAAGAATTTATGAGAATTTTATATGATTCTTGATCATAGCGTTACTTTCTTATAAAGGAAATTACGGATGCTTTAGCACTGGAAATAATTCGGAAGGAAACAATTAAAATATATGAGTTTTTGGCGTGATAGTTCATCTTCTTCAGTTTACGACATAATTCGTTTGATTCTGCACAATAGATTTAAGCCGGCGTTGCATATTAGAGTTCAAGTTCTTATTACAACAGACATTACAAATGGGCAAATAACACTTCCAACTAGCCGGCGTCTTATAAAGCCGGCTAGTTGATTTAAGCCGGCGTCTTATAAAGGAAATTACGGATGCTTTAGCACTGGAAATAGTTCGCAAGGAAACAATTAAAATATATGAGTTTTTGGCGTGATAGTTCATCTTCTTCAGTTTACGACATAATTCGTTTGATTCTGCACACATTAGAGTTGAAGTTCTTATTACAACAGAAATTACAAATGGGCAAATAGCACTTCCAACTAAATGGATAAAACGAGTAGCATTTGCTAAAGGATTTGAACTGTCAGATATTGGAGCACATACGGTTGCTGATCTTTTAATTAGCCGGTTAATTGTGCGATATGCTAAATCAGTAAGATTGAGTAGGAGAATAATTACTACTGATAGTACTTTCTGGTTCGTAGTTCAAGGAAGAAAACATTTTGAGCGAAGTTCTTCAACGGTATGTGTAAGTAATGTAACTTTGAGCTAGAATGTATTTCTGAGCAATTAAAAGCCCTATGGAAGCTACAACAGATATGAATCAAATTTGAAGTTGAAATCTAGCAAAGCAGTGAGGATATTATGCATTTATTCGAAAGTAATACGGTATATAAAGATAAAAGATATGAACCAAAACATCTGTAGAAGAAACGTTATCAGAATCTAAGTAATACTTATGATGTCGCTGAGTTTAGAATTTTTAGTTTAGAATTTTTAGTCGCTGAGTCGCTGAGAAATAAATTAAGAAACAATCTAGAATTGTTCAAGCACTATGACGAAGTGACAAGGGCTCAGCTAAACAAAAAGGATTTTGAAAAATGGCAGTTTCAGGTACTGACTAATTCGAGTTATTACTTTTCTCATCATGCAGTTGTTGGAAAAGAAAACTCTCCACCGCTAAACTACGTATTGTGCATGATACATCATCCAAAGTCTATCCCTTAACGACAACCTGTTTCGGGAACTCATCTTTTGCAAAATTTGCTTAAGATTGCATTTAATTTCAGTGGATTTACAGAGGATATTGCAAAAGCATTTTTGCACATAGGAATTAGTGCAAAATAATGAAACTTCCTCAGATGCCTATGGTTTAGGAATAACCAAATGTATTACCAAGTAAATAACTTAAAATTATTTGAATTTGAAAGAGGTACCTTTTGGATCTCATGTAGCGCATTTTCTCTTTGTGCAACTGTTAGATTGCATTTAAAGAAATATAAGGATAGTAAAAACGAAGCTTGCTAAATGCTGCATAATTCTTATATTGATGATTTAATTTGAGGAGATACTGGTTTCGTTCTTATCTTCAAACGTGCAAGAAATAATGGCGGAAGTGAGTGGGAAATTATGCAAATTTTCCACTAATTCTGAAGAACTGAAAGGCATACTATCGTAAAAAATGTAAAATGTCAGCAGGCCTATAACTTCAAAGGTGTACTATTGAAGGTTTTGGGAATTGTATGGAATAACGCAGAAGGTATCTTGAAGACTGATTTCTCCAGGGTTTTAAGGGGGATCGAGCGCTTTAAAGGAATGCAAGCTACGAAATGTAGGGTGTTAAATACTCGTGGGAAGTATTTCGGCATTCTCGGCGTGACTGTACGTTCAGATTGAAATTTTGCTACAGTCAGTTTGGAAAGGGGAATTGGTTGGGATAAATCTTTGCTTCATGATCTATAACTAGAATGGAAGGAGTGATGTACACAAATCAATCAAGTGCATATGTTTGACGATGCTAGTATAAGAGTATACAAAGTAATAACGTATTTCAAAACTAAATTCAGAACAAGTTGGAATACGAGTTTTATTTTTTTAGCTAAGTTAAGCGAATTATACTTCCTCGACTTCTAGGGCTTTCGATAGCGGTAAAATTAAGCGAATTATGTAATATCCTAATTTATATTTCTTAAATCGAACGATATATTATAATAAATGGGACAGATCTAGTTGGCTTCAGGAATCTCAAAACCCCACATTTCAGACATCATACGTTAAATGTCGGGACTAAAATTTCATTGAAAATGAAAAGTGGTAAAACGTCATGTGAAGTTGAATCGTAGCACAAACCACTGTTGAACTTAAATAATTATAGCGACCTGTATAGGCTTATTCGACAAAGAGTGCGGTTGAAGAAATTTGTTCACAGTATCAAATTGGATTCGGAAAAGATAAACAATTCTTGACAGAACCAGAACTAGCAGAAGCCAGAATATTGAGTTAAATATGTTTAAGAAACCGAGTTCCAAAAGAAATGAATACAATTGTCTCTAGGAAAAGCGGTGAAAAGTTCTTCTGAACTAATTAATCCAATTTGGAAGAGAACGGACTTAAAAGTTTGGGAGGACAGCTTTAGAATTCATGTTTAACTGCTAATCAAAAACATTCCTTCATACTTTCTGGAAAGCATTGCTTTATAGAATAGTTGATTATACGAGAATATCAAAATGTGCTGCATTCCGGTGTTTCTGACGAGCTCGTACAAACGGACAGTTATTGCATAATAACAGCTCACCAAAGCGTTAAAAGGGTTTCGAAAATTTTATTATCGTATGAAGAACTACATATTATCATAAAGGAAACTGAAGCTATCGTTTATTTTCGACAGATAGCTTATGTGTCAGTCACATAAGGATCATTATGATGTGTTCATAAGGATCATACTTTCTTATTTTTTAGTAAGAGACTGATCTAGCTATATCTACTGAGCATGTTAGCTGCAGAAAAAATGCTATCCGGAAACAGTATATATCCTGAAACAATTCCTAAGATCTGCTGATTAATTTTTGGCGCAGGGGGCGTAAAGAATATTTACTGCAATTAAAGGTTGCTTATTATACAACACCTTATCAACGTGGCACATGAGTTCAAGATGGGTGATATCGTGTCAATACAAGAGGAAAAGTTACCTGGTCATATTTGCAAACTTGGAAAGGTTGCAGAGACTCATATAAGCTGTCAGATATGCAGCTGCAATTTGAAGATTTCAACGGGAACGATAAAAGATAATAAAAATAAAAGATCAGTACAACTATTTTATTATTTAGAACTTCAGAAATTTGTAAAGGTACCTTAGTTTAGCTTTATACGAGTTAATTTTATTTTTGATGAACTTCTTCATCCCGGGGAAGATGCAACATAAAATATACGAATAGCATTGCCGGCTTGGCAGAGCGCGAGCATGCGCAGCGCGCATCCTGCAGACTTAAATACTGAATAATGATTTTGCACTACACCTCTACCAGCTGAGGCAGCTACTGTGATTGCAGTGCCCAAGTAACTAGAACTTTTTTTTTATCTTGTTGCCTTTATTTCCATCACCAAGAGAGCGATCTTACTGAAGAAGGTGAAAGCTGTTCATTCTGAGTAAAAGAATTATTTGCTTATCAAAAGTTCTTTATTTGGGGTCAGATAACCCGCAGTTAGCACTACAACATGTTAGGGTTAACTCCTCCCACCTCTTCAGAGCAGCAGATTTCTTCTTTTTTTATTTTCCTGAGTGCCCTGCTAGTTTTATTGAAATTATTTTAAATTGTTTAGAATTCTATTTATATATTATTCAGAATTTTCATTTAAAAAAATTTTGATATTCTTTAAGTTTCGAGAACTCACTCGTTCCTTTATTATGTTCACTGTATCTTATGCTGTATTGTGTTATAGTTCATGAGTTGTTTTACTTGTGTATAGATGGATTAATTATATAGATTAGGTCTGATCAGAGGGGGGATAGTTTTATACTTAATATTTAAGGAAATTTACCATTTTGATGCTGTTTCTTTTCAAGGTCTTTTTGTATTTTTAGGCCACTCAATCGAGCTTGTAGGGATTGGACTGATAAAAATGAAAGTTTTTATGAATAAATTTATATGGTTTATTCTGTTTTATAATTGTGTTCATTTTCAGTTAAAAAATAGCCTGAACCTTTAATTTCTTTCGTTCAAACCCATGACGGCGATGCGGCGAAAAATGTACATAACCTTTTTCTTTTTCTGTCTTCATTTTTTGCTTACGCTTTATTGCACCTTTCATGTAATTAGTCACTGTCCTTCTCAATTTTATTTTGAATGGTTTGTTCCGGGTTTAATACGGGGTAGATTTAAATGTTTTAGTTTCCTCTTTATTTTCCTTGTTTTTTCCAAAATTGTTTTGAATTTTCGTTTTACAGATTGTCCTTGTAAGATTGCAAACTAACCGATATGTGCATAAAACACAATGCGTCGTACGTTTTATGTACGTATTCAATTATTATCAACCTCAGGGCTCTCACCCACGGTCGCCGGGGGGCATACCGGCCTAAAAGACAACAGCCGTACAGTCGATGCCCTGGAATCATGGTGTTCCGCCCTGGGATTTATTTTGTAACTTAAATGTGCAATTATAACTTCTTTATGTGTAATGTTTTATTTTAATTATGTTTTCTTAGTTAAGGCTAATTAAAAAGCCCAGGTGAGTCTTTTGTTTATGGTAGTTTGGTTGTAGTACGAGAATTTAAAGAAAGTAACTAAACCTATGCTAAAAAATAATATGAAAAGCAAAATAAAGCTATTTTTGTCAGAAATAATAACAACTTGATGTTTGTAAGTTTTTGTTTTCTGTCTAAAGCTACTTTTTGCCTTTATTAGCAAGACACATGAATGTTAAATATAATTTACATAGTCTAGAGTTTGTTACAAAAGGTATAAAATTACGTTCACAAACGTTTCATTGTTAGTTTCCACAGATATAGAATCAATATTTTGCTTCTAATTATGAAATTCGAATATTGTGATATTAGTAAATACAATATTTATACAAATTCGAACTATAAAAATTTGCTTTTGGAATGGGATGCGATTTCTTACGGATAGATACTTATGCATTCTAAATTAATGTTTCTGCCTGCGAAGTTTTCTTGCGTGAATAAAAGTCTAACATCATGTCAGCTAAAAACAGTAGCGTAAATTTAGAATCGAATGGTTAAGATCTCCAGATGAAGATGAAGATGATAACTCGATGATGATGATGACGATGAAAAGTAATACTTTAACGGTTATGTATTGATAAGTTGAAAATCCCTGATTTTGATGCATCTTAATTACAAACACTTGAATATTATTATTTTTTATATAAATAATATAGTGTTCCCCACCTGTTAATTTGAAGTCTGCGCTTACTTTGTTTCACAAAATGTATTAGGACATAGTCTTACGGTTCGATACCGACATGAAATCATTTTGTTTCTCTGTTTAATTCCATTATTTACATTATAGAAAATACATATTTGCAAAAGTGTGATGTTTTAAATGAAACAAAAATTTCTAAACAGATTATTTAAATTACAAAATTCCCAGGCACATTTTAGAGGGTTTCCCATCATATTAGTGTATTACAGCATGTGTGCTGTAGAATAATAATTGAATGCAATTCATTTCGTGTCTGCATAAAACTAATAAATGCTGGAAAATTTATGTTTTGAGATGACCTATGAAATAAAACGACTTAGCATAAGCTGCTGTTTTCAGTCAAATAATAATACTTGGTAATGCAATAATAATTTTTAATAATACTTAAGGTACTTACTTATCATCAGGGAAAAGAAGATGCTGTGTTTGTATTTTTCAAAGACAAAATTCTTTTCATTGTTGAAAAGATATTGAATGAGACTTAAATTCAGTATTTATTGTTTTCTTTTAAGAATGTCCTTTAGTCAAGTATTGATTCTTACGAGCAGTTCTCGGCTAATATTAAATTGCTACTACGCACAGAAATTTTATTAAAAATACAAAACTATACAATTTTTTATATCCTTTAAAGTTATAGTAAAAACCTTTTTAAGAAATATTTCTTACAACTCTGATATTTCAATTTTTTTTTATTCACAGACGTAACTTCAAGGGAACAATCTAGATTCTTCACAGTTGTACATTTCATTTACACGTTGAATGTCGCTTTTGGTAAGACCTGGTTTTTCGTACGGTTCCAGCAGTCGCTGACCATTTTTTGCAACCATCGTTACAGATCTTCCATCTTTGGAGAAAGCATAATTTCCATATAACATGATAGATGTGTGATCAAAATCAGTCAGAAGCAAGTTTTGACTAGGTTGCAGGCGAGTGAATTGGGTTTCCATACCTGGAATGATTAGAAGTTTAGAGAATTATGCTTGCATTTCAAATTGCGATAAACTAGTCGAAATGTCTTTCTTTTCTTTCCGTGAAGTTGATTATTTTTAAAGTGTTCTTTTCTCCCGTGGAGGGAGGATATTGTTTTAGTAACGGATATTTAAAATGAATAACCTGATTTCAGATGAGCGCAATTATGCAGCCGTGAACTGCATATTAATCTCTCTCTCCATATATAATTTAATATTATTATATTATATATATCGTAGGCTACTAGAGAAATCCAGCTTATTGCAAAATACACTGTCATTTTGCATAGCGCTCGCTAATTGGAAAATTATCTAGAGTTTTCTCCTCAGCGGGAAAATGTTTAGGCTTGTTATAATGACACCTTTAAAGTAATTAGAAAATATTAAATGGTTTATTTAAACAGCCTGATTAAATCCAGGCTTATTGCATCATGCTCAAAGTACAGAAGGCTTTTAAAATCAGGCGAAACAGCAACGCCACTCAGGTGTACATTTTAAATAAAACGCTATCAATTTCAAATTCAATTTTGAATAAAACTCTATCGAACTGGCTTCATTACGGCTCTGGATTCACTACATGACGCTTTTGAGATTTTTGATGATAACAAAGAAGATCTAAAGTAGATTTTATCTGTTATGAATTAGACTAATCCAACCCAACCATATAGTTCTCATCCGAAAGTTATTCTGACGATTCCCTATCTTCCCTTAATATTCTAATTATCCACAAAAAACTGATTAAACACCACTGTTTATCCTCAACTTTTTTCTCCTTCCTATATAGTATTTTATGGTAATTGGCCCATTACCTTACTTGTATACACTGAAAATAAGATAATAATAAAAAATAAGGTAAGGTAATGGGATCATTACCTTAATTATACCTTATTTGAACTATACTACATATTCTACTTTTCATTAGTTCTCACCAGAATCTTAATAACATATAAATACATAAGAACAGAGTTCTTGAAACAGAAAGAAAGCTTTAACTGCGACATTGACACTTGGGACAGTCACGCTTTGAACTTCTAAATTCTAATGACCTTCTAAATTGTCTATGTCTGCAAATACAAACTATGAACTGAAGTAATGTCTTAAATGAAGAGCGAACTGTTCATTAAAATTTCCGGCTGAATAACTGGTGCATGTTTTGTAGGATCTCTGTTGTCTTTTTATGGTCAGCGGGAAGTACACAAGTATCAAAAATTCAGAAGGAACTAATAGAAATTTGAGCTATTCATTTAACTTTTATATATTCCTTTATTTTGCAAAAATTGCATTAATTTATTTTGCAAAATTTTTTTATATATTCATTTATTTTGTAAAAATTGCATAAAAGTTTGCCTTTCTAGCAAATATATTATTGTGTACTATTCAAGTAGAAGTTCTTACCTGTCATAATATTCTGCCAATAAATAATGAGATAGTCATCCCTATCAGATCTGTTTTGTTCATGGAAGAAACCAATAGCATGTCCTAGTTCGTGTACAATGGTGCCTTTTCGTAAACACCCCTGTCCAAGGGACACTGGTTGCTCTCCACGGTTAATCATTCCAACGTAGGAATAACATCTGCAAAAATTTGTTATTCAGAATCACTGAATTATTTCTTATTGAAACCTAGAAGCAAATAAATCAAACAGTAAACTATTTTAAACTGTTATCTTTAGGTATTCATAATTTTAGTTAATTTGAGATTATTAGATAAAAATAATTTTGCCTTGTTGATGCAAGAAATAAATTTAATTTTGGGATTATTCTTAAAAATCCTTCATCAAGATCATTAATATAAATCTATAAAAAATGAGAGAAACTTTTAATCCAAAATCATAAAAAGAATCGATTACCAATGTACATTCATTAAACGAAAATACAGTTTCGCGTTTGCAAACTGTTTACTTCAATTTTTTGAAACATATTAAAATAATTTTCTTCGACTATCTCTGAAATATAAAGCATATCTTGATATAAACTATGCATTTATGCATTGTACAACACTATCACACTAAAGTTTGTGAAAACTGCAACATCATGAAGGAATTATGCAAAATTGAACCAAATTTAACAGGAAATGTAATGTGAGGTAAGATATGCAAATGGTTAGAATCACAAAGTGGAAGGAAGAACTGTCCGCTTGTTCCATGTATATAAAGGACTGCACAGTTGCGTTGAAATCTGTTTATTGTTCTTTGTCTGCGGTGAACTTTTAATTAATAGTCAATATGCCTCGTCAACTGTGGAGGGTGCCATACCGACAACTAACGGAAATCGAACGAAGCCGCATCGTCAGCATGCGAGATGGTGGACTTTCGTATCGAAAACCTGTACGATTCAATGCCACGAAGTGTACAGGCTTCGAAAATCAGTACTTTGTGCGCCCGCCGTCGCTCAGCGTGGCGGACACTCAAAGTACTGATTTATTTGATAAAAGCAAATTTGACCATTTATTTGTACTACTATCAGTAATATTTGGAATAAATTTCATTCCTTTCCGACAATTCCTTCATGGTACTGCATATTTGAAAACATTAATTTATTGTAACCTAAGAATATTTAACAGTCACGTCATCAATGATCTATCTCATTAGTTCAAGGCAACAACTGGCAAACTGCGAGTTTGGCTGACGTTGAACTGAGATACAGCTGTATTAGTAGAACTAGTAATAATAATAATAATAAAAACACTAAAATGAAGAATTTTATCTTTAATTCAATTTTACAAAAAAATGATAAAAAAGACTAAAAAATCGGAAAGGTTTTAGATTTTGCATTACGTCTAAAGAGGCGTTTTTTTAACGTTTTGTGTGTTACCTTTACTTATTAAATATCATGTTCTTTGCAGTTAAACCATAAAACTCAGTTCAAGAGCAATGTCGCAAAATAATTTTAAAATGAGCACATCTTTAGAATTCCCGGTACACAGTTCCGCGCGCTGGAGATAGAAGGTTCCCCCCCCCGTACAGTGTTGCCATTGCTCGATTTGAAATTCTTGAGTTTGTTAATCAAAAATCCGTTAAAGGTTTACAAAATATGAAATCGATCATAAAACAAATTCCAAATTTCAAATTTGGTCTTCTACATGCCCATATTCGTAGGAGGAGGGATTACGTCATTCAAAATTCGATGGCTCTTTGTACCGTTGTTTTATCACAATGCGAGAAATATACATACATTTATGCAGATTTTTCATTATTTAATTTCTGCAAATATAATTCACGACTTTAACATTTGGTGGCGACAGTTTGAAAAGTGAAGTGGACATTTATAGTGATTCAACGCAAAAGGGAAGCAATAGTCCTTCAGGGACAAAGCCCCTTTGGACTAAAAAAAAAAAAAAAAAAAAACTTGCAAAAATTTTAAAAACCATATATTTAACTATTTCAGCAAATGCATTCTTACTTAATTTACTTGAGACTTGCTCATTCTTCGCATGACAATTTGATAAAACTTAAAGAAATATGAATTAATTTATAGGATTCTAAATTGCATTGTTTTCACTCGAGAATAATTTAACGCATGAGGAATCTTAAGCAGAAGGATAACTTTGGAGAGGAAAAATATTCGAAGATTGTTCGCAGGAAAAATGTTCGAATATTAGCTGAGGGTAAAATCTGAATAGAAAGTGATGAAAATGTTGCAGTAAGAACAATCAAATATAAAGATGAGAGATGGTCATATTTAATTATGATTTCATATTTTGAAAATGATGGCCTTATGAATCCACAACGTCGGGCAAAAGTATAATACAACAGACCGGACAATCAGGAATTCTTTAATATTTTTCAATTTAATTAGGAAAATATCAGAGTTCGTTATCTCATTTATTGATTTGTCTTCAATTCTTATAGGGATAGCAGGAATAGCCGTCAATCATTAAACCAATTTTTCTTCACATTTTCATACTTTTATGTAGCAAAAATAACTACGTTTCTGTTGACACATTGACTGCTAAGGCAAGTTTCAAGATTTCGGTCTCAGAAGCCAGTGATTTAACTGCATTATATATATAATTAAAAATTCAAGTTTTAGTTCAATTAAAGTTTAAAAAGGATTAAAGGAGTTTTAGTGTTTGCCCTGTGTCTTACCCACAGAAAAAAAAATCTACTTCTTACAAAGACATGTCGAGTTTGTACCTAAGCTGATAGAATGCCGAAAAAGGAGTAATTTTGTCCAGTCTATAAAAGGACACCAGCGTTTTGTGTGGAAGGCTCTTTTAAAAATTCTTCTTGATTAAATAATAATATTAAAATCAATAAAATGTTTTATATTTCCAATTCATTTATTAATAAAATTTCAGTTTATCAAAGCCAACTTTGATTTTTATGTCTTTTTCCAGACACCACATTTCCTTAAATGCATTTGTATTTTACAAATGGCAGCTTTTACTATCAAGGTGCTAGGTAAGAACAGATAGCTATAGTATATGCCTACTTGTAAAAACTTCACGTATTTTCTTTACCTCTATTTTTCGATTAAAAGGGGCGAAATATAGCCTTGGAAGTACTTTATATAACGATCCATTATTTCTCGTACCGATCATAACATTAACACTGCGAGAGATTTATATTAGTCATTAAAAAGCTATTTATACTTTTCAATATTTAATGTACGTACCCTTTTCCAGAGAAAAGCTTGATGTAGTTCTTTTCTGTAGTCCTGGGTACAAATTTGACGCAAGTATTTATATGATAATCATTCATAGCCTGCAAGATGAGGGCAGTTGCCTTTGCTGTATCTGAAGATAAATTGAAGAAGGATTAATGGTTGTCTTGTTTCACTTGCCTCGATATAATGTGTAACTGAAACTAGAGTCAATTTTGTAATTGTTTCCCCATCTCAAACTCTACAGAAATTTTATGAGATAAAATCTTAATAATTTATGAATACAACTTCCCCAAAAATTTCTTCTTAGATTTTATTACCTGCATTTTTGATGAAATAACAGGATAATTTTAACAGATCGACTGCAACGTGCTTGCTTTTAAAATTACTTACAGTGTAGGCCACATCTCTGCCTAGTTACATATTTTCAATTTATACGTAACGTGAAATAATACGTTAAGTGTTGCCAGTGGAAAAAGATCAAATTTCAATTTTCAAAAAAGAGGACAATATGTTGATATTCCTATTTGATCTTGAAGCGAGAAGTGTAGTGTCAAATGGAAATTAGCAAACTTTCTAAAACACCAGATATTCCTTAGTCTAAAAATGAAATCGAAATAATGCTCATTGCTTCCTATTTCTAAGAAAAATATGCATAAAGAATTTATGCCTACTGAACAACACATTACTATTGCATTTTAATATAAAAAAGTGATAAGATTAAGAGAACTCTTAAAATATGAGCTTCAAAATGTAAGTATTATGAGGGTCAAAACATCATAAACAATGCATGGGATTTTTTCCGCAATACATTTCTTGTAACAATTTTCATCATTCGAAGATGTTTGGATAAAAAGCCGTCTGGTTTATTCGCAAGACATAGTTTTGAAGAACTGTTTTCTTTTTCCTGCAAAAACGCATTAATAAAAGGATATTTTGATAACGTAGTTATATATATGCAGTTTATGATAGTGCAAAACAATGTTATAATGCTATAATTAGAGTATTAAGTTAAAGATATTGTTACTAAATGCCCAGCTGCGGTAAGGTTCCCTGCAAAGCAGATTTAGGGTTGCCAGAAAATGGCAAAAAAGAAAGGGTTGCCATATTTGGCGCGAAATCGCGCATTTGGGACATTTGGCGACAAGATCGTCGATATGCCATAGATGGATGGAGAACCCTTTAAAACGAATTCTTACCGGCTTGGCCCAGAATGTTCTTGAAGGCAGGCCAAAAACTATACGCTGCTGCTGCGCGGAGTAGGGAGTGTGTCGTAGTCTATCGAATTGACCATCAGTCTAGCGTCGAATGTATCAAGATTTGGTGTATCGACAGTGTGCATCGTTGAAGCTATCGTCGAGTGCATCGTGAGTTGTAGCGTGGAGAGTCTAGAGAGTACGAAGAGTTTCGAGAACGTCTGAACAGAGTCGGGAGCTGCACTCTAGTGCTTTGCCGTGAAGCTGCCTTTACCGTTATAGCCTGATGGCCTGAAGGCTGTGTTGCTGATTGTTTCAGCGTGCTTGTTATAGGTTTTCGACGACTGTAAACGTGTTTTTGGAACTGTCCTGAGTAATACTGGCTAATAAATTGTGTTCTCATTCTTTATCAAGTACTGTCGTCATTCATTCCAAATCTACGAGCCTGTAACAATATTATATTGTATTTAGTTTACTATTTTTAGTATAAAATAATTTTTAGTAGAAAATAATTAAAATTTAGTAATCATAAAGTGCAAAGAGAATTGTAATTGTAATTGTGTCATTACCCTGTGCAATGCAGCTCGTGACGAGTTTTAAGAGAAAGCTACGCCGAAAAAGTAAAAAGACAGAAGCACACGAATTTAACATTTAATAAATAGACATTTCGTAATTGTACACTTTTGCTTTCCAGAAACCTCGAGAAAATGTCAGAATGTTCTCGTGCATGATTAAAAAGCTTATAAAACCGGAGCAAAACATCTCAGTTCAGTTGTTTATTAGTTATTTATTTAGTTCTTGTTGTTGATTGTAGCGAATTCGCGGTGAGAACGGATTAGCTTTCTCTGAGTTTGAATTGTGTTCTATTTAACGCTTTAGTAGTTAAAAATATAACTACCGTGTGATATTGTGATATTCTACGAATATCTGTGAGGAAACGTTTCAGCATTTTGTTTTATTTCTTGGGATAAGAATAAATTTTATTAACTTTTCATCAGACTTGTGCATTCAATCTCTTACGAGCTTATCATTAATGATATTGTTACGTACGCAACAATATCATTAATGATACTACTCTCAACTTACTGCTCTCAAACTAGTTGTTATAATTAATCACCACAACTTAATTATTTGGGCTGTGGACTCGATAATCACTCAGGGAACTAAAAAGAGAACTTAAAAATTATTCTACTACTTATAGAATAACAAAATTCAAAACTGAAAAATTACATGCATTCACCAGAATTTGAATTCATTCTTATGTTCCCAACCAAATGATTCCACAGCTGAGGATTCTGTTAAATGTTCTAACACTTCATAATTTTTGCCAATATGAACTAACTAACTAACTAAATTATACCTCTTTGTGCCCAATTTTCCTTCTGGAGGAGGACGGAAATTAAGAGATTTAGAAAAAAAAAAAAAAAAAAAAAAAAAAAAAAAATAACATGAAAATAACTAGTTACCTTAATCTTCACAATCTGTAAATTAAAGATTAAGCTACTCTGAATAAATCAGGTAGTAAGGGAATGCGTAAACTATTATAATTTTGTCTAGCATCTGCCTTGTCTTCAAATTACTGTTCAGCGCTTTTTTACAATGGTTACATCAACATTGTGTAAAATGAAGCATATTGTTACGGATTTGGTATTTAATTAGCTAATGTTAGTTGAATTATAAATTAAATTGTTTTATTCCCCGTGCAGTGTACCGCGTGATGAATATTAAAGGAAAGCTAAGCTGGAAAATTAAAAATACAAGAGCACGTGCATTTAACATTTAATAAATAAATATCTCTTTTTGATTTCGAGAAAGTTCCAGAAAATTCTCGCGCGCGATTTAAAATCTTATAAAAGGAGGAAAACTTCTCAGTTCGTTGTTATTTTAGTTAGTTTGTTGTTATTTTAAGAGTTTGTTTAGGAAACTGCTCTTGTTGACTAGCGAATTCGCGGATTAGCTTTCTTTAGCTGTTATGAATTAAGTTCTTTTGAACGTTTGAATAGTTAAAAGATAACTACTGTGAGATATTGTAATACTGCACGAATATTTTAGGAAATTTAAGCATATTTGTTGTGATAATAATAAATTTTTGTTCATTTTTCATCGGACTTGTGCATTCATTTCGTAACGAACCCGTACGCACGCAACAATATATTAAGACCGCTACTGTTGGAAGCAGATGAAATGCAACAAACATCTGAACGTATTAACATCTGTAAAAGCAATTGTTAGTTTGCTTTCTGCATCATTTCGGCACTAAGTAAGAAACCCTAAACTGGCTCAAGAATTTCTTGGCTAATAGTTAAATATGTAATTTTGCTTTTTTTTCGCTGTAACATTTTGGGCACATGGGTTGTATCAATTTTTTCGAGTGAGAGCTTTGTGCATAAGAAATCAGAAGGCGGTAGACTAAGATTAGTTTGTCTAAACAGGTTTGTAGCTTAAAATAAACTTGACGACTTCACCATCTATATTATTTAATAGTATTTCCGGAGTACCATAATTTTTACCACGCAGCCCATTTATGAACACCCTTTACAAACATAGAAAATTTAGATATGAAAATAAAAAATACTAGCGAAGGGAGGGTAATGACTGTTTTCCTTTCAGGATATGCAAGTAATTCTGAATTTTCTTACCGAGTGAAGAATCAATAATGTATGGAACGCGCTTGTTGGGCCATCTCTTATGAAGCTGAGGAATAACATTTCTGTCCTAAAACAAAGAATTTTAAATTTTTAGTCTTGTAAGATAAAATAAGTGAAAAATTTGAAATATTCTGATAAAAAGAAACTGTTAGTTTGAAGTTTAAAAATTCAATTTAGAATTTAGATAATCTACAGCTGCATACTCCTGACCGTTCAAATTGCTACACCATGAAGACAGCATGCAAAAAATGTCAAATTTGCATGAAAGGTACTCGCTGGGATATGCAGATGATTATCATTCCTTCGTCTATCATTCCATCGGAAGGTGATAACGTCTGCAACACCAAGGACTGTTAGCGTGGCGACCATTGTTGCGGTATACCTTGACACTGCAACAGAGAGAGGGGTCTGTACAATAGAGAACGACGACGAAGTGACGACACTTGACACAAAAGTATCGCCTTTTCAAACCAATCCCTTTCCTACATACAGCGTCATGATGACCATATCGAAATGCAGAGTAACTGAGGAGAACGAACCTTGCCTGCATTTGTTATCATCCTCCGGACCCAACATGTAGTGTGTTGGTATGGGGTTTCCTCTGATCATCTCTTGTTCGTGTAGCCTGTAATATAGAAAGCCGTCGTTACATTTCTGACGTGTTAAGATCCGTTTTAGTGTCTTATCTTCGAGGTCTGTGCAACCGCGAAGATATCATAATAATAAAATAATTCACAACCGAATGTTGCCCATGCTGTCCTGTCTTTAATCTGAGGATGCTCGACTGTTTTCTTGGCCAGTCGTTCTTCAAATCTCTCATCCAATAAAATGGGGCTTGGGATGCCGACAGAATGGCCTGCCACTATTATTGGTGAACTCTGGTACAAATTTAAAACCGCATGAAATAAAGATCCCGTATCTGTCATCCAAGAAGAGTTCGACTCGATGCCCAGCCAGTTTACAGAATTGTCGTTGCCAGAGGTGGCAGATTTGTGCACTGAATTTTGGCATGTTGTATATCCCAATCCACCTGAAAATTTAATCACGGCTTCCTTCCTATACTATATACCTATAATAATAAATAAGATTCTAGTACTTGCTTTCCTTTCCGGTGTCGCAATTCAAATGGGCGGCAGTGTATTTCAGACTAAATTCGAGAATATTTATACGAAGTTATTTTCAGTAAATTTCTCGAGTTAATATAAATCTGCTTCAAACTATATAACACAAAAATATTTTTTCTTTTGGAAATTTCGAATTTTATTGAAATTTTATCCTGTATTAATGAATTTTCTAATTATAGAAAACTTTTTCAAAAATTGTTTGAGAAAGAATATGGATCATATATTCCTAATATCTGGAAACGCTAATCTTCCAAACACTAAAACAGACACAAAATTAAATAATTTACAAATTAAAGTAAGTTCCCTAAAATGCACTTAAGCACATGCGGTGGAGAAATAGCAGAATTGGTATAGTCAGGAGAATATTTAATTTGCACCGCAATAAGTTTAAAAATTACATTGCCTGCTGACTAATACGCTTTCATATAGTACAATGTAAGTAATTCACACATGAAAATGTGTATTTGGATTACGAACCTCAAGTAAATATTTGGAAAAAGTATTCAACGGCTTTCTACAACAAAAATGATCACCCCAACATACTAAAAGATGCGGTAATGTTGTCTACCTAATGTTTCAGTTTCTGGTAAAGGATACTATTTAAAGGAAATCATATATTGGAACAGAAAAATATCAGAAGGAAGGCAGATCTCTTAACGTGCTTTATAATGTCAAAACACATCAATCGTTGGATGAAAAGAGGATAGCTTACGTACATACTTTCCTTCTAATGTTTTGGAAAGTGTGAGTATTGGTTTATAAGGTTCACTAGGGAAGGGCATAACTCAATCTACTGGAGAGTTAAAAGTCCCACTTTCAATTCCAGCTCGAAGCTCATCTTTTTTTGAGATTTATCTCACGCGCCTGAGAGTTGCATAGATTATGTACACGAGTTTTATTGTGGCCTAAAGGCAAGAGTCGTGACTGTTGTGGTTTAAACCTCAGGTACTTTATAGGAGACAATGTGAATTCTCTCCCATTTCTGAAGAGAAATTCCGCAGGTGATTTTTAGAAGGGTCTTCTATCCCTTTTTCCGTTTAGCAGTTTCGCGAGAGAACTTTTGGCTCGACGTAGTTTTAAGTATCTTCATGCCACAGAGACACTATACTTAGAAACAGCTATGATTTTTCCGTGTTCGGTGTTTGGTGCATTTAACTGGTCTGAACAGAAATTTCTGAAAAAGGAGACTTATAATTCATATTTCCGAAGCATCTTGAAAGTATTATTCTTACGTAGCTATTCTACCTTTCAGTGCTGTTATATTTGAAGAGACTTGATGTCCAATGTTTAATTGACTTATTTTTGAAATAATACTTGTAAACGTTATGCAGCTTTAAAAAATTAGGCTGTACATGAGAAAATGTACGAGTATTAATTAAATTTTGAAATTGAACTGATATTGCAAAAGGAAAAGTAACAGCTATTGCAATTAGATGGAATATCCACAGTTTTTGTTAGAGTAAATTAATGTCACTTTTGCATAATAAAACTCGACAGAGTTAAAAAAAAATGAGTGCCAAACGATACATTGTCGAAAAGGATTCTGCTTATGTTTTGAGGCAAAGATCTGAAAAATATTTTGCACTTGAACTTGAGATTTTTCTTTTCAGCCATGTTACCTTCTTTTTTAGAATATACTCCTGATATTATTGCCTAATAGGTAAGCCTGAAGATATTTAAAACACGCATTTAAATTAGAGTGCCTTGAACGCTCCAATTTAAATGCTTGTGAAGACTGACTGTTAATTCTTATTTGTGTTTTACTTCAGTTAAGAAAACTCTCTAATTTGTTAAATATAGATTTCATAGTTATTCTAACTTATTATTCTTTAATAAAACTATGCTAAATAGAGGATAGTGTACTTAAACGCCTTAGCTATATTAAATGCACAACATGTCAGTTTTGTTTTTTGGAGAGAGAAATAGGGATAATTAGCTATGCTGTTTCTGTGGAATTCGAACTACGGATCTTCCAGCGGCAGTTGGACATGCTATAAATTATACAAAGACATCATTCTTTTGATAATGCGATAATTTCCCTTATATCCTAACAAATTTAATAAAACTTTTATTATATTTTATTCATGAGCTCTTTCTATACGAATTGTGTAGATACTTTATATTGTATGTATTGTTTATAAATAATTGAGTATCTTTATAAAGAATTGGTATTGAGGACATTATATTGTTTTAGCCATGGCATAAACGTGCATAACTTTAAAATTACCAACAGTTCAAAATTTGTTATATTTAATGTCAAAACATTCTTTCCGAAAGTTTGTTGTGCTCAAAAGATGACATGCGTACTACTGAATTTGCATTATTCTTTATCCAAGAGCAATAATACGCTAGATCTACCGAGCTCAGTGCAAGTTATTTCAATCATTATGCTTAATACTGAATATTGTTTTCCTACAATAATCTACTTCATATCTAAAGAAGTTTATGGTGGGCTCAAACTGCAGTAGTTTTACATTAAACCATACATTTGTTATGCTTGATTTTTTTATTTACACAAAAAGCACCTTTTGAGGAAACAGAGAGAACTATTTTAGTGTTTCCTTTTTTAGGAGGGTTATCGCACTTACTTTCTTTTTCTTTTCCCCCTTTTTAATGCTTGCTTTTACTTATCTTATTTACGTAGAGTAAAAAAGCATACTCAACAGTTTGCCTGAAAACCTATAATTTTCGAATAGAGAACAGTCAGTTGATTTTTTAAAATTAAGAAAATGTCAGCCCTAAATAAATGCTTGTTTTGTAAAAAACATTCCATACAGTTAATGGGAGACTATCATCTATTTCTTAAAATTTATATAGTTATTTTCATAGAATGTATGTCTTTTAAATTTAGAACTTGTATGCTTCTGAGCCATGTTATATGTTACTTACTAATTTTAGACTGAATTATTATTTTAGAACAATAATGTAAATATATATATATATATATATATATATATTACGCATAATTATTTATTTTAAATTGTTAAAAAATTCTTTTATTTGATTAGGTTTTAAGGTTTTTCTCTCTCCTTGTCTCAACTCTTGGTAGCGTAACTGAAAAGCGCGTCCGGCTAGCAATCCCGAAGTTCGGAGTTCGAATCCTAGCGAGCGCTTTGCAAATTTTTCATGTCTATGCCTCTAACCAATACCTAATATACTCTATGAGTGGACACCTAACTAAAAAAAAGGTGGTGGACGGTAATACGTCACCGCCATGTTTGGCGATTGGGTCCCCGTCTCCCCAATTGCCACTTTAAGTGGAGAAGAATGTAAGGTTTTTATTCTTCTTTATCCTTTGTGGTGCAACTGCGAAGTAAGCCCAATGAGTATTCGCAGGGTTCGGAGTTCGATTACCGATGAAGTCATTACACAATTTTCATGTTTATTTCTTTGACCAATACCGAATTGACTGTACATGGTAGAATAATAAATACAGTATAATTTATACAGTACTTACGCCAGGGTGTATTCCTAAGATATCTCCCTGAAAGAGGTCAGGATTTTGTAAAGCCAGACGACTCTCCTCTGTGAAAAGGAAGCATAAAGTAAAGAAAATTTCAAAACGATTATATCTGATATATATATATATATATATCTTTAATTAATATTTATAGAAGGAAAATAATTGTGCAGAATAAGAAATATAAATAATAATTATTCTTTATGCAATTCTATAATGGTTGTTTTAAATAAGAAACAGCGAATCTGCAGCTTTTTGTTGGACTCACTGACCTTCTCTGCATTTCTCCTTAACTAAGACTCTTTACTCTCTTACTGGAATATTTTAAGGAGCATTTTAAATGACGTATTTTTGTACAAATATACTTCTGATTTGATTTAGATTAATTTTAAATTAATGCGCAGTAAAATATTGATCTGTGAGATACCTGGTTTAGATAATTTTTGAATAAGCTGCAATAAATTTGCAGACGCTTTTGAAATTTATAGTTATTTGACTGATACTTTTAACAGCCATTATTAAGCAAATAAGAGTAATCAATGAACAGAGTACAAAAAAAACTATAGAAAGGAGACTAATTAAAACACAAGCGCAGCTTTATAGCCCTTAAAGTGCAGTAGAAAGTTCGTTTATTTATTATCTATGTGTTTAATTCGTCTGACGACATGTTTACAAGATAGTGTTCTGAAATTTCTATTTAATCAGAACTTTGATTTTTGTATAAGAAGAAAGTAAGAGATTAATATACGATTTCTAATAATTGATACACATAATAAGATGAAATGGAATTAAGCGAAAAAGCGTTAAAATCAGATACTAGAATGTACGACATAAAATAATTAAAAAATGTAAGAAACTAGCTTGTTATTTACGTTGCCCATTTAGTTTACTAAGAAATAAATATTTGAATATTCATCATGTAATAGAAATTTTTTTTTTACTTAAAAAATCTAAGCATGCGCATTTCCATCACTTTCACCACTTGCTAAAAATTAAAATGTAAAACTATTGTGACACAAATCTCCATATAATAAGTTGTACCTTAAGTGGGATTAGTAACATACATTCTTCACGACCATTAAAATAAACGTTTTAAATAACTTCAGAGTTCTAAAAATCTCTTTAAGATCTTTATGATAAAATTAACAAAATAATTTCCAAATAATCGACAACAGAAGTATTATATTTTTACAAACACGTTAATAAAAATTAATTCATATAATAAATCTGAAATTTTCTATGATTAAAATAGTTTGATAATGTTATAAGGTATTTCTCCCGCCTTCTTGGCATGTCTTCGTGGTGTGGTAGTCTGCACGCTGGTCGCGTATTCCAGAGGTCCGCGGTTCGATTCTTGGCGAAAGCGTTGCTCATTTTTCATATCTCCAGCTCGAAATAACTTAATGTCTCTACAGTGGCACCCGAACTAAAAGAGATGTGGTTGATGATTCTCCACACCCAGGATTTGGCGATTGGGTCCCTTTCAAAACCCCAGTAGCCCTTCAAAAGGGGGAGTATATAAGGTACTTCTCAGGCCTTCTTGGCATGATCATCCGTGGTGTGATGGTCTGCACTCTGGGCGCGTATTACAGAGGTCCGTGGTGCGATTCTCGGCGAAGGTGCTGCTTATTTTTCCTGCTTCCAAAATACCTAATGTCTCTACAATGTTACTGAAACAGTGTCATGTACCGCAGAATTCGATATTGATTCTATGTCAATTAAAACATAGCTAACGAGAAATACAAACCATTTTATGTTATTAAGCTTTTTTTCTGTCAACGTAGGAAATTCCACGCGTGCATATTATAATACAAATGTAGGAATTTTATTTTTCGTGTATCGTAATTTATTTCAACAAATATTAGTTAGTGGAAAAAGTGTTGCATATTATGCTCAAAGAAAAAAATTGGGCTTTATCATCAAAAATGGAAATTCACTGAAAAAGAAATAAAAACGTAAATTATATCAAATGCTTGACTGAACATAATCCATTTTAATTACGTTACATGCTACAAGATTTCTTGCTTAGACGAAAAACTGGTATAATTTCATCTTATATTATTTAATCTATTTTTAGGAAAGGTGAACTTCTACAGCTAAGAATAATTCACAGAAGAAAAAACCAGCGTATGTCATAAACATAATGTATGTTATTGCTTTCCCATTAATATTTAACATAATGTATGTTATTGCTTTCCCATTAATATTTAACATAATGTATGTTATTGCTTTCCCATTAATATTTAACATAATGTATGTTATTGCTTTCCCATTAATATTTAACATAATGTATGTTATTGCTTTCCCATTAATATTTAACATAATGTATGTTATTGCTTTCCCATTAATATTTAACATAATGTATGTTATTGCTTTCCCATTAATATTTAACATAATGTATGTTATTGCTTTCCCATTAATATTTATAGGTTAAATGCTTGTTCAAGACTTTAGGCTAATTTACATACTGTGGTCCTTCCTCTGAATTAATTTAACAGCTTCTTAGAAATAGTATCGGTTTTTTTATATTATTATATTGTATTGCTTATCGCCTTCGCCGGGAATCGAACCACGGACCTTTGGAATACCGGCCCAGCGTGCTACCGTTACACCACGAAGGACGCTAGGAAAGTGGTAGAAATACCTTATAACATAAAGCAACAAATTAGACAGGAAAAGAGACACACAGAGAAAGAACCTGGTATAATTTCCAAGGGTCAATAAAAGTTGTTATTATTATTATTACTCCAAGCAATTTGATAACTTGTTTCAGCATAGACACCTGAAATGGAAAAGGCGGAATAAAATATAATCCTTAGGTATCATTTTTTAATGTTTAATTTTCTTATTAGTTATGTTTATTTTGAAGCAATCTTTCTTATAGCTATTGTTTCCAACCTACGCTTTCTTGTCAGAATGAGATTTCAGTTTCGAATGTTATGCAAAGTCGGGCAGAAAGATACTATTTAAGCTGGTGTCTGAGTTACTTCAGACAGAGCGTGGTCTGTCTTTCGGCCACGTTGTCTCTGCTACTTAAGCCTGCTATTCTGTGACCGTGCATATTAACTGCCGTTTAGTCTACTTCGATGGTAAGGCCAAGAGCTAACTACGTGTTAAAATATCTCTATGCAGCTTCGGCTAATTATTAGATTTAGTTTTAATTTTACATTTCTATTTTAAGTTGTAGCCGAAAGTAGTAGCAAGGAATTATAAGCATCAGGAGTGTCATCTGTGAATACTTCTCTTAAGTTGAATGAAAGGGTTTTTTCACCCTTTCCTACGTGTTATCCACCGATACAGTTGAACTTAGCGTATAGTCGTTTCACAGTTCAAGTAAAGATCTAGCCACCAAAAGTAATTTTAATTTAGATAGAATCTTACAAATGTAATAAATAATTGCTCTTGTGTTTTTGTTATTTTTCCACAAAATAAACCTGATTAAAGAAGCACAAAATAAACAAAAAACGCTTACCATCTTCTGAGATAGCAGAAACTACCACCACAACAAAAAAGAACGCAATAACGTATTTCATCATCATGTTCGTTGGCAGAAAAGTCCGAAGAGCAAAATTATTATTATCAGTAAACATTTATAAAATATTTTTATCATTTATACTGATCGACTGCTAACTTCACATGCTTGTGAATTCAAACATCTGGATAACGATTGGACCAAGGACAGTCAAAATATCCAGGATTTGGGTAAAGGAAAACATACCTTTTGTCTTTCTAAAACAAGATTTAGAATTGTGATCATGATCAACATTTTTCCTTACATTTTAAAGTGTTATTTCACTGCGATTTCTTTCGATTCAAATTAGGGGTTGCAGCATAAACGGCTTAGAAAGCATTTCTTTTTAAAAATGTCAATCGTATCCTTATATATATCTTCATAAAAGTACCTGAAGATAAGGAAAATTTGTTCTTTTAAAATTTTCATTTGCTTTTATTTTTAGCCCAAAAGAGCATTTTTTCCAGAAGTATTATTAATTTCGTTTTGCATTTGCGTCGATTCATTTTTGAAATTGTTAAAACTAAAATGATCATGTGATCTCTGGAAGATCGGCGTTTGCAATCGACTGATATCTTTTTTCCGGCTGGCCTTCGGATAAATGTTTATGTAAACAAATAGTTAGAATTCGTAATCTAACGGATAATTTTTGCTTACTAGATTAGTTTATTTTTTTCCTCGGATTACTTGATTAATTATACTTGGATTATATTTCAGTGTAATATGTTTATGTATGAGACGTGTTGTGAATAAAAATAAGAAAAACTTGGGCAACATGGTCTGCATGCGAGAATCACTTTTATTCTCTAGTGTGACATAATATTTTTGGGGATATTGCTGTGAACTGAATTTTATGGTTGGAGTACGTAGAACATAATATTTAATAAATAAAGGTAACACACAAAACGTTATTAAAGCCCCTTTGGGCATAATACAAAATCAAAAACTTTCAGATTAAAAAAAATTATTTAATTTGAATTTTTATTTTAAATTTGTTCCTTAGCTTTGTTTTTTTCAAACATAAAACTACTGCGTGATCAAAAGTGTAATTATTTCTTCTACCATAAATGGGATATTTATGCTTTGCTAATAGCCAAAATTTGCTTTATATCTAAATTGCATTTGATATAAAATAAATGTCTAAAAGGAAAAATTATTTTTCTTCTGTAGCAAGAAATCATTGTTGAAGATTGATCCGTTTTCATTATCGCTGCGCCTCTAGCTTTTTTGAATTTGAAATCGAAGTCAATTACACACATTTCTCATAGCATACTGTTTTGAGTACAATTTATTAACTTTACATTTTATTTATTTTAAATGAGATTTTTACTAAAGTACCTAATGTTTGCGGTAGCAAAGCAAGATTTGTGAAGACTTACAAATTCTAATACGTACATGAAGGATGCATCGATATGAATTGTCGCAGAAAGATCCTACATTTAACACAGAGATAAGTAATAGTGCATGAGTACTTGCACTTGGGAAGAGACATCGTGTTGATTTGACTGTGACTGTCAGTTGGCTGTAATTCTGTCTTCACGAACATAACACACAAATTAAATAAGTAAATCCTGAGTGAAGCAAATAAAAGTTACAATCATATTGTAACCAAACTTGTACACCCGTATAAAAACATTAAAAATTACCAGGCAACTGACCATAAGGTCATCATGCGACGAGCTGCACAATACTTTTTAACAAAACAATATCAATCATTTAGGGAAGACCACGTCCAGGTGAACAACAGTCGTGTTTTGCCTGGAGTCACACAAAACACATTCAGATGAATTAGTTAGCTTAGAACGAACCAAATAGACACTTAGAGAATCGTGTCCGGTCTAGCGTCAGCTCGGAGTGAGTCCGGGATGCTTAATGGCAGACTGCACATTGAGTTGAACAATGTTAAGCAAATTTCACTTACTGCGCATGCTTGATGGTGTACCTTTGGCGAGGGGAGAAATATTGGCGACTAAGCAACCCTACGCTAGCTTATTCGTGATCACCATGGCTGTCGAGTGTGTTCGAATGATGTTTACAACTGTAATGTTGTGGAACTTTGCTTATTAGTTATTTTTAACGTCCATTCCGATTGCACTTGCTTATTTTTATAATATATATTTCATTGTAATTTGTCAATAACAGTGCATTTAATATTTGTTAACATATGTTCGTAATAATTCGTTATTTAAATGTAATTTGTTTACATGTTATAATTCAGTAATTGTAAACTGGAGTATCTCGCTTAGTTTGTTAGCGTATATTCGAGCTTTTATTTTTTCATTTCAAAGGAATTTAATAACTAGCATTAAGGAATTGTAAAATTTCTTCAGTGTTATTTGCAAGCACTTGTTATATTCCTCAGTGTTTCTTTATGTATGTACGAATGGAACGTATGGTAAATCCTGAATTGTTTTTATTGCTTAAAAGTATAATGAATAAATTTTCAACTAATATATCCTAAATTTCAGTCTTTTCTGAACGAAAATTTGTACAGTTCCAAAAAGGAAGTGCAGAATTTCATAGGTATTATATTTTACATTTTGAATGCAAACACTGCTTCACATTACTTCGCAATAATTTCAGCTTTCTAGTTGTTTGAGCAGTACAGCAAAAAATATTGCTGAGATCACTCAGCCAATAGTACACTTAACTAAAAGACACGTTCCCTTTGTTTGGAATCAAGATTGCCAAGATGCTTTTGATAAATTACAATCAATAATGTTGGACAAACCAACTATAAGGAACATTGATGATAATCATGAGATATTTTTGATCACTGATGCTTCTAAAGTAGCTATGTGTGGTATTCTGTTACAAAAGATTGATGATAAATTCTTTCCTGTAGAATTTTATTCGAAACTTCTCACTCCTGCTGAGTCTAGATACCCATCGATCAGGCGTGAGCTTTATGCTATTTTTTTCTGTCAAGCATTTTTATGAACATTTATATGGCAAAAAATTTACTATTTTAACTGATGCTAGACCACTCACTTTTCATATGCAGCTGGATAAGCAGCCTGACATTGTTGCCAGATGGTTGTTGTATTTACAAGATTTTGATTACTCTCTAAAACATATACCTGGTTTTTCCAATCCTGCAGATTTTCTTTCTAGAGTTCCTGAAGCATCTCATAGTGTAAACAATATCAACTTATTTCATTCAGATAATACTCAGTTAAGCATCCAAAATATAGTTAATCACCAAAGAAATGACAAAAATATTAAGGATATCTTAAGCCAAATTAACAATAATAAAGCTGATATTTGTGGAAAATATTTTATTGATAAAAAAATGGTGTAGTAATGATAAAATTAAGACATAGAGCGGATCATTTAAAGACAAGGCATTTAGAAAATAAAATTCTACTTTCCAAATTCTTTAGTAAAACCTTGTTTAGAGATTGCTTCATGCTCCGCATTTTGGTACTAGTAAAAACTTATGAATTCATTAAGAAAAAATATTTCTGGAAGGGCATGTTTTTAGATACAAAAAACTTTTGTGAAAAATGTCAACAATGTTTGGAGAATAAACCCAAGGTCATGTAAAACAATTACAAGCAATATAAAAAAATCTGATTTAGCACCAGGAGAAATGTTAGCAATTGACATTGTGGGTAAATTGCCCAGATCACATGATGGCAAATTTTTCCTTCTAACTATTATTGATCATTATTCAAGATATTTAGAAGCTATTCCTCTGGCAAATATTACATCTGCTACAATAATAAGGTGTATGAATCTTTATTTTTCAAAATTTGGTATTCCAAAAGTAATTTTATCTGATAATGCTTCAAAATTTGGTCAGCTGAATTTGAAAAATTTCTAAAAGATCTCAATATTGAACACCGAAAAAAGCTCCATTTATTATCCACAGTCTAATGGAATCATAGAAAAGAGTTCATCGAACTATGAAAGAAAGCATAGCTTCTTTATCCAATAAGGTAATCGAATGGTCAGATAGATTAGCTTTTTTCAAACTATATTACAACAATTCTAAACACATAGTGACAGGTTTTACTCCCTCACAGTTATTTTTTGGGCGAGAACTCAATACACCTCTAGATACAAATAATGAACCGGCAACGGTAGATAATCCTTCACAATACTTGTTACGTCAGAGAGAACACATTAAAGCAACTAGAGAATTAGTGAAACAAAACGAAGAAAAATATTTTCAGTCTCAAAATAAAGTTGTTAAAGGCAGAGAACCACCAAAATTTAATATTGGAGATGAGGTATTTTTAAAGGCTTTACAACCACCTCATGCTTTTCAGCCAAAATTCAATGGACCTTTCAAAATAATAAAAATTTTTCGAAATAAAAACTACTTAATTCAAAACATCGAAGACCACAAAACTAAAAAAATTCATTGTAGCAAATTATTTAAAAGAGTTGATCCAAGGTTCAATTTGATTAATTAAGAACATTTATTTCATCGAGCTTGTTTTTCTTGTTCACTAAGTTAGAAAAAATAAATAAATAGAAGACATTTGTAAGTGTTAGGAATTTAGTGGATTTATTTCCAAGAAAAAAAATTTTTTTTGAGATTTCATGATTAGTTTGGGTGTCGGTTGGCCACCTTCACTCATACGTTTGGTTGGCTGCAGGCTGGTCCGGGTTGACTAATGTCATGGAATTTACAAAAAAAAAAAAAAAAAAAAAAAAAAAAAAAAAGTGTGCAGTACACTTAGTGATCATTACAAGTAACGAGCTAGACATGAAAATTGTGCTACTAAAACAAGCTTGAGTAGTAAATATATATATATATATATATATATATATATATATATATATAACAATAATAAAAAGAGGAAGAAGAAAATTAATGTGTTCAAGAAAAAAATATGAAATTGTAGAGTAATTGGTCTAGATGTATTTAGTAATTTCAAGGGCAAATTGATGTCATCCAGAAGAACTTATAGAATCTGTATAATTAGAAACTTGTAAAAAAATGATCATTAATGCAGAGTTGTGTTTAACAGCGAAAATGTATGAATGTAAAAATAGGTATTAGCTTACAATTTCCATTTACAAAGAGAAAATTGTTGTAACTT